CAGACACGCCCACCGCCAAGCGGTAACGCACGCCGCCGTGTGTAGGGGCCGTAACGGTACGTCCACACTGCAGCTTTAAACAAATCTTCAACCGCTTCCAACGCTTCTCTGCCCATTGACTTTGAATGGGGATGACGTCACTTTGCCTCGCTTGTCGCCGAACTGCATTGTGGGGGAGCGAAGTGAAGATTTCCAGGATTTTCAGGATTCAAAAGTTGAGCAATGTTCTACTTTTGAAGCTGAGCTGGAAGCGTCAGCCAATCAAATCCCGTTTATGCAAATCTGACAGTAGAAGCGCTAGCCAATCAAACCGCGTGTAAGCAGGGAGAGCCAGACCGCAGTTTATTTCCTCATATTCCAAACGAGAAATTACGGAAGCAAATCACCCGGTTCTTTACGACCAGAACTATTAACGAGATACAAACCGGAGGAATCAGGCATGGAGGGAGGTGGCAGAGACAGTGGGTGAAACTGGTAGGTTTTCGCCTGTTTGGGGAGTTTATATATATATATATTGCTCGCATAAAATCCCCGGGATTTTTTGCTTTGTATGTCGGGGGCGGGAGATTCATGTGATTGGTTGTTGGTCGCGTTGCTCGCAAAAAATCCCCAAGCTTTCAGACATGCCCAGCTCCAAGATTTTCAAGATTTTTGAAAAGCTGCTGTGTGGACGGACAGCGGCGTGCGTTGAATCTTCCAACGCTTCTGCCCATTCACTTTGAATGGGGTGACGTCACTTTTAGCCGAACTGCATTTTGGGAAGCAACGTGGAGCGTTGCTGGCGTTGCTCGCTTCAAAAGTTGAGCAATGTTCAACTTTTGACGCCTCGATGGAGGCGTCAGCCAATCGAATCATATGCCAGTACAAGCTCTAGCCAATCAAACCGCGTGCTTGTGTGTCTGGGGCGGGAGATTCATGTGATTGGTTGTTGGTCGAGTGTCAGACACGCCCGCCGGCAAGCGTCAACGCACGCCGCTGTGTGGACGGGCCGTTAGAATATAATATAAGATACACATCTTCCGGCGCAGACTGAAAACTCATCTCTTTCGACTCCACTTCGAGCGATAGAATTACTAACAAAGAACTGCTAACAAAGCACTTATATACTAACAAAGGACTGGCTTATCTAAAGCTAGTTGAGTAGCACTTGAAATGTTTGGCTCTATGAAACCTGATGTACTTATATGATTCTGTTTTCTTCAAGGTTGTGTCTTCCTGGTCGAATGTACTTATTGTAAGTCACTTTGGATAAAAGCGTCAGCTAAATGCAATGTAATGTAATATAACATTCGGCATAATTGTATGCAGCTGTCATTTCTATATGCAGGGTAGTGCAAAAAGTACAGTTGGGAAAAAGTCATCCAAAGTGTTGAAAGCATTAAGGGAATCAGCAGAAACTCACAACCTGCTGGAGATAGTATAGAGGCTCTTTCACACATACATTCCTTAACATTAGCAGAATAAATTGCCTGTACTATTCCTGTAGAGGCAGCAGCTTCTTTGGGTAACATAACCAAGGCCTCTAACACGATTTTAGCGCTATGCGACCGTTCACACACCAACACCAACCGCACTAAAGTCCTCTGCTGTTGGACATTACATGTGTTTTATGTCGCACAGTGCTGGTGTTGTGCATGCTGTAAGGCCAGTAGGGGACCTTAGCACTGACCTTACATTGTTCAAATTGCCTTAACTGATTTTCACACTTAACCCTGTGCAGCAAAATAGCATAAAATTACCAGAATGAGACCAATTGTCTTTCTCATGAGTGTTTTCTTCCATTGTAATTGCAATTTGTAACACATATGCAGCTGTGTATATGGTAATAAGACACAAGAATAGTTGTGAGTTTTGAACTTTTTCTGTCTGGTTGAATTTTTGTAACTTTCTGAAATGAATCCATTAATAGAATCGCTGTGACGTCACAACACAGGAACACTTTGGCCATAAAAACAGTACTCATATGCTACTTATACCAATTTCACACAGAAATCTAATAGGATGAAATGCTAAATAATGACATTTTGAACAGACATGGATGTGAACTGCAGCTTCCCTGTTTGGTGAAGACACACAGATTTTAGGCGCTAATTCTAGTTTGGTATTTAAAATGACACAAAATTGAGACACACATATTCTCAGAACCCAAAGTCACATATTCAAATTGCTTTTTTAGTTTGTCCAATAGACCAAAATCCCGAAAATATCAAATGTACTCTCCTAGAAGACAGAGACAAGCAGAAAATATCCAAATGTTTTGGTCATAATTATGCTAAATATATATCTAAACAATGTATTGATTATCAAAAGGACAGCTGACTGATTAATCACATTAACTCAGCTCTATATTAATTATATCCGTATACCTAATACAGTGGACTAATGGTGCTTTTTAAATAATTATTTTCTTCTTCTTCTTCTCTGCATGTCTCAGATCAGGCTCAATCACCTCCAGTGTATCCGAGAACATTTAATGCACTTGACAAATGACCGTGATTTGCCGATGACGTAGGGATTTCTCTCCCTGATCCTGTTATTGTTCGATAGACGGAATGTGCGGTATGCGAGTGTGTGAGTGAACTCTGCAGGAGCTGACACTCGACATTAGATTCGCGGGAGGAGATTATGACCCTGGGCACTCTGGCAGAAACAGAGAAGAAAAAGCAAAGCCAAGGCCAATGGGAGACAGCAGAGGTGGAGAGAATGGAGCAAAGGCCATGAAAGGAAATGAGGTGTTTGATCTCCCCGGGACAGGTCAGGTCTCACCGCTGGAGTGTCTGATCTGATGGAGAGCCTATTATAGGACGGACACCAGCAGCTGCACTGAGCATCCAAAATGGGAAAGAAAGACAGATCTATGTATTAAATTGTCACACTTTTCTCTGTCAATTCCATTAGTGTGTGAATGTTCCCTTTCCTCTTGGAGATCTTTGAGCAACACACTCTGAAATGTCACCTAAGTCCACACTCTTTGTCCAAAAGTTTCCTTGAGAGGTCCCTTGGTTTATTGCTCCGGGCTTCTGTAGTTTCTTCAAATGCCTGTTTTCCTTTATTCTAATCGCAGCACTCAGAACAGTGGAAAGGTGTCGCAAAATAAGAGCCTCTGAAATGAAAACTTTCTCCCCCCCTTTCACTGTATGTTGCTGTGTCTTCGTCTGGTTTACCTGTGCTCCTTTGATCATGACAGAATGCGACTGTGTTTGATTCCTGGGGTACTTTGACGGTTTGCAGGCTGGCAAAAGGCCCTCCAGTGTCTGAAGTCAGATCAGAGGAGACGGGGCCCCTGAAAAGCAGGCGTCCAGCTGGGAGAAGATCAGAAGAGACACAAACTTTAGCGAGAGCCATTGTGAGGTACACAGCGGCTGCTGGCTCCATAACTTTTCCCTTTGTGTGTTTTTTATATCCGCTCCTGCTCTTATCTTCTGCTCAGAGTGTTGAATGGCTCAGTTAAAGGTCTGTGAGGAGGTTTTATCTGATTCTGACAAAAAAGACACCTTGTATTTGTTCCCTCTTTCAGCTGCCTCATGGGGTTTAAAGCCTGGTCTGTGTGTGCGTGTGTGTGTGTGTGTGTGTGTGCGCGTGCGTGTGTGTGTGTGCGTGCGTGTGTGCGCGTGTGTGCGTGCGTGCGTTCACAATGGTGCACATCTCCTTTACTCTGTAAGCATGAGGACGTTGTTATTGTCAATATAATGAAGAATATTAATAAAGAGTATTATCTTCTACATTTCATGATTTCTAGATATTAAACCTGTCGAGCATTTCCCCTTTAGTTAAATCAAGTCTTAGATGTGTGCATGAGGTTTTTGAGATGCTTACGTGAAATGACCAGTATTGAGCAACGATTTCACTCACTGTAATTACTGGCCATATTAGCTAATGTATACAATGATGTGATTATTTTACTGAGGAGCCTCGGTAAGGTGATTTGAGGAGACAGTCTCACGTGTTTGGTAATGGTGCCCTCTAGTGGTGTAATCAGAGCACTAACAAACACTTTTCTTTTTGTCTTTGTTTGTTTTGGGGCAGGTGTTATTTGGCCACGAGGATCTTAAGTGTGGTTAGTCTGGGAACTGTTTTGGTCCTTGGAAAGTGTATGGGTCCACGATAAAATAAATGCCCCTTCCAAGACCTATAGAACGTTTTCCATAAATACATTTTTTCTTTAAAATGAAATCATGCATTTTGTGGGTATGTATAAACATTATTTGATGATCATGTACTATATGATTTGTACACATTTACTACATAGAGATACCTAGCCATACTGGAAAACATACACATACCCTATATTGCTGTGGAAAGGGATTTTACATTTTCCTATTGTGTGATCCATGGCAATCATCCTCCTTAATACCAGTGTTACGTGGAAAGTAATTATGTTTACCCAAGTATTACACGTAAGTACCATGTGTGTGGTAATTATAGGCCTACTTTGTTTATATCTCCATTTAATTCTACCTATATGTTTATGTATTTATCCGACCGATCTATGTAGAAAGTAGGAATTAAGTGGAACTAAGATTTTACACACAGACAAAGAAATCAAATTGTAAATAATATTATTACAATTATTTCATCCTTGATTAGTCATTTTGCTGAAATACAATTTTGAATGTGGGACTTGTAGCTGAATACTTTAAATTATAAAGTAAAAATATATATAGGCTATATTACTTTTTAGTTCTGTTTTATTTTCTACGTTTAGATGTTTCTATTTTATGTTAGTTTATTTTCTACTCTTTTTTTATTTTTGAAATGATATGTAATGCCTTTGTTTTAACATGCTCCTGTAACGAAAACAATTCCCAATTTGGGATGATTAAAGTATATCTTGTCTTTTTAAAGTCTAGTAGTTTTACTTATTACCTATCCACCGTTGATACCCAAAGTATGATTATGTTTAGAATTGGAGCTGGCTAATAAAACAGATTATCAGCAGTTCGGTTGTTTCACGCTGTGGCCTCGCGCATGTGAATTGAAAGGCATTACTAATCGATCGACGACGCCACCGTTCTGCTGCTCTTGTCTGAACCGTCTTCAAGTTCATTAGCTTTTCTCTAATTCAAAGTAACAGCTGCATTCAGGCCCAGCTCGTCCTTTTGGAGAAATGGCAACAACCGTAAAACTGAACACCGGTGCCCAAATGCCCATTATGGGACTTGGAACATGGAAGGTGAGTTTATTTTTAAATACTACATCGGCCTACCCAGCGTTAGTTAATAGTTAACCTTTTAAGTAAGCTAGGTTCCAACGGAAAGCATGTAAATGTTGCGTAATGGTTCGGTAAAACTCACTTTTCTTGGCATCCTTACCAATTCAAGATCGACAGTAATTGTATTGCATTTTAAGACTGTGGCTGCTGCAGTTGTTCACTTTGAAACTACATATATAGTTTGTACACTAGCTAATGGGCTAATTTACTACAGCTGCAGGTTTCTAGAAATATGTGTAATTCCTGTTTGGTTAAGTTACTCCAGACTGAACTGTTTGCATTGCAAGCATGCTTTACTTTTTAAGTGTTACCAACGTAAATGTCAATACAATTGCTGTTGCAGACACTGATATCCATGTAACTAAATCCTTGGTCCATCCAAGTGCTTGGTTTACTTTTAAAACAACCAATTTCCTTTGATTGCATGACTGTTAGGCGAAGTTTTGTTTAAAATTACCTTCAGATATTTGAGATGGTTTCTGCTTCACAGCATTTGGGATTTTCATCCGTGAAATATGAAACAATAGGTGCAGTTATCATTCAAAAATAAAACAGAACGGGTAATTAGTAATCGAGAAATATGACATGGGTGTTCTCCTACCACATGTTGTGAATTATGAATGTTCCAAAATATGAATTGGATTTGGTCCCAGTGAGTTGTCCTGTCACTGTCAATGCAGAGTTCATGTCACCGTGAGGTCACTATTATAGTCTTTCTCATGTAATCTTATCCAAATCATAATAACGAAAAGGAAGGCAAGACAAGGAGCTTAAACTCAATTTTAGATGAGAAACAATGTCACCTTAAACATTAGTATGTACCCTGGATCCTTTATAGCACCGTATGTGTTAATGGGAGGTAGTTACACTTTTTATACCACAAACCATCCCTGTGTTTTCCAGTCCCCCCCCGGCAAGGTGTCCGAGGCGGTGAAAACAGCCATCTTGGCAGGCTACAGGCACATTGACGGGGCGTTCGTGTACCAGAACGAGTCGGAAGTGGGAGAGGGTGTCAACACCTCGATCAAAGATGGCGTTGTCAAACGAGAGGACCTTTTCATTGTTAGCAAGGTGAGGTGTGGTGGAATAATGTACAAACAAATGTCCTTTTGATTATTTCCTGCACAAATAGACATTGGAATAGATGTTTCTTTATTATTGACTGTTTGTGATTTTAATGGATTTCCTTGACTTTCACAGCTGTGGTGCACTTTCCACGAGAAGTCCATGGTCAGAAAAGGCTGCGAGAAGACTCTGAGTGATCTGAAACTGGACTACCTTGATCTCTATCTGATACACTGGCCCGTAGGTTTCAAGGTATTGTCAGATGTGTTCGGAAATATAAGTGTGCTCGAGATTCAGGTGTAATCTTTCAATATAGCTATGATAAAGCCACCACCTCGATGTAATGGTTATGTTGTGTCATGTTACAGGCTGGCGAGGATCTTTTTCCATTGGACAGCGCCGGAGAGACAATCAATGACGACACTAACTTCCTGGAGACATGGGAGGTACGGTAAACCAAATAAATGAAACCACTCCCTTGTTTCGGTCTAAACTAACTGGTAAAAACCTGTTTGGGATAAGCATAACAAAGCTATCTGATTCATGATGTGGAACCACAGTCATCGAATTTGTTTAAAGACCAATTTGTTAATGTCAAGATGTTATTGTTCATGTGGGAGTCATAAAGAAAGGGGAGCGTTAGGATACATTAAAGTCGGGTTTTGACAAGTTAAGACTAGTGCAGGTTTACAATGAGACAAAAGAACTGAGATATACAGTATGAGGGAGTGGAGACAAAGTATAGCTGTGGCTTTTTGAAAAGACACAGACGGTATTATGTGTGGTTTTCAGTCTATAGACCAAAAGTCATCAAAGGGCGTCTCTTTTGTTTAATTGTCTCAGGCGATGGAGGAGCTGGTGGATGCTGGTTTGGTGAAAGCTATCGGCGTGTCCAACTTCAACAAGGAGCAGATTCAAGCCATTCTCAACAAGCCGGGCCTCAAATACAGGCCGGCCAACAACCAGGTACACTAAGACAGCTGTTCAACCAATCATATTCAGGAGAAAAACACTCATTCACCCCGAGCTCTGTCCCCTTTCTTAACCCTTTTGAAGTGACATAAAAAGAGAAAAAACAAATCAATGAAGCCAACTAGTATTATGCAGTTTTTCTGATGATACAGTATAAACATATAATAGAAAATAAAAATATGTGAGACTTCTATTTCAAATTGCCATGTCATGTCTATAACTGCATACAGTACAAGTATTGTAGGATTATTGACACCAGACATATATTTAATAAATATATACGTATACCTATTGGACATGCTGTTAATATAGAGTATGTAAAGACTAAACCTCAACAGCAGAATTTATTTTAATGGGGATTATGATGTGTTTACCTTCAAAAAGAAGCTATAAAACAAACAAACAAAACATCCTAATCACTTCAGTGTCTCTTAAATAGCCATTAAAGAAAAAAGGATCCAATCCGTGACTCAAAACAGTGATAGGATCTGAACCGTGCATTTTGTGATCTGTTGCAGCCCTACTGAAAGGGCAAGGGGCCCTAATGGCATCATCTGTCTCCTCCAATCGGGTTTGAGGAATAAATGTCCTGTTAACTCCTAACGGGCCACAGCAGCTTCCCTCAGGCTGGAACATTAGCTGAGCTGAGTTTTTCTGCTTATCACAGCTACCATCACTGTCTTGTTTTATACTCGATTACAGCCCCATTCTCCTTTAGCTCTCCAGAAAGAGTACAATCATATACTCAATAAGAGTGATGCCTTATGGGTACAGTAGTTTGATGCCACTGCAAACCATATGTATGTAGAGAGGCAGAGAGTGTCCAAACTTTTAAAAGTGCATTGAAGACCTACATTTTTAACAAAGCCTTCGGTTAAAGCTCACATTTTATGGTATTCATTTGATTTGATTTTGATGGTACTTAATTTGAATGTTTTATGTATTTTTATTCTTTTGTTGTTATCTTAATTTGTTTTGTATTTCTATTTGTATTACATACACCATCTTGTATTTTCATGTTGCTGTAACTCCATCATTTACAATGTTGTTATTTGGTTTAATCTGTAAAGCCCATGGACAAATGTGTTGTGTTTGTATTGGGCTATACAAATAAAGATTGATTTGATTCGATGTATGAAACCTTTACACAGCAGTGCATGCTAAGAGTTGTGTTTGTCCCACTAGGTGGAGTGCCACCCGTACCTAACCCAGGACCAGCTGATCGCCTTCTGCCACTCTCAGGGCATCTCAGTGACCGCCTACAGTCCCCTGGGCTCCCCCGACAGACCCTGGTCAGTTGAGTATCAAAATAACACAAACCCCCTCCTCAGCTGAATCAGTATTATGTAATGTCCCTTGAGTTAGCTTCATCTTGTGACTGACTGCAGTTCCTCTTTGTTCGGGCGCATTATGTCCAGACTTAGGAAATTACCTTTTTTTCTGCCTGGTTTAGACATTTTTATTTTTAATAGATGATTTGGTGTCTTAAAAACTCTATTATTTGTTAGGAAAGTATCACTCGACACCGGGTTGAGAATCAATAATCAGGTACTAATGTATTCTTGCAAGAAGGAGCAGAGTTAAGTCACAAACAAAGGATATGGTTTAACTCACACACATGGTGCTCAACGGAGCAGCAAAAAACATCAGGCTTATAAAGTCCAAAACACGGAGATAACAACAAAGTCGTAAATCTAGATGGCGCTAATATCATCCGCGGGTGTCGGAAAGGTGTCGGGGGCATCTGTGACGTCTTCTGGAAAGAGTCACGTACTTCCTCCACGCCTCCATAGAAATGAGATATTCAGGAGACAACAAGTATGTGTCTACTCATAAATATCATCAACCTGAAATGCCCTGCCTCCTCCTATCATTAGAAGAGGCAGCTGCAAGGTCGTACACAGTGCAGAGTCACACATAGTGTCAGTGCATTAAAACAACCCATAAAGGGGAGACAACAGTATTTCTCCAACATTATTCCTCTGGTTTTGTTTTGAAAAAACACCCATAAAGGTGTTGAAGGGGCCCTATTATGCTTTTCGGAGTTGTCCATTTCCTTTGATATGTTATATAGGATTTTGTGGATGTAAATGGTCGGAATTGCCTCCATTGGAGTACTTTGTTTACTTCAGTAACAAATGACACAATGCTGCATCACAGGAGTCAAATAAAACAATTGTTTTAACATTAAAGCAGGTAAACATATCACACTAGGGTGTAAACTCTCGGCTCCGAGCGTAAAAACAAAACATGGAGAGGCAGCATTTAGCTATTATGCCCCGACACTCTGGAATAAACTACCCAAATCATGCGCGTCCGCAGAAACGCTTACTATTTTTAAATCGAGACTAAAAACATATCTCTTTGGCGCTGCTTTTAATTGAGATGCTCATATTCGAACTACAGTATGCCTTTTAAACATGTATTGTTTACCTGTGGTGTTTATTTGTATTATTTTATTATCTTTGCTTTGTAATGTCTGTTGTAAAATTGTATAATGTGTTTTTAATGTATTTATTCCTAAAAAGTATTTTAATTTGTTTTGTAAAGCACTTTGAATTGTCGCGTACAGAAAAGTGCTATATAAATAAACTTGCCTTGCCTAGGGACACTAAATAGTAATATGAAACGTGAAAACAATCACAATAGGGCCCCTTTAATGGTTTGACCTTTTCCACAATTACCACACCTGTTTGTAGTAGTGTTTGAGGAAATGTTATTACAACAACCTAGAAAACTTCAATCAATAATTGTGAACATTAGATATTTTCTAGTCAGACGTGTGATGTTGGGTTGTAAAGTTGAGTTTGAGCACTCTAGTTTTTGGATGTGTTTACATATATCTTTGGAGCATCATTAACCATAGAAATGACATGTTGGATTTTTTTAATGGGGGTTGTTTCTCTTCAAATTGTTTCCATTATTCTACCTTTTTTAAATTACAGAAATATAATGCAAAATGTGCCGGACCTGTAATTAAACAGTTGTTATATTTCAGGGCTAAACCTGAGGACCCCTCTCTGCTGGAAGACCCGAACATTAAAGCCATCGCTGCGAAGCACAACAAGACTCCTGCTCAGGTACAGCACTGCCTCCAATAAATAAGACATTAAATCACACAGGCTTTTAAAAAGTGATTTTCCTTGTTCCTCTTGTCCTCGTGATGCACGTGGGCCTCTCTGTTCTGACTCTTGCGGTTCTGACCCCTGATCTGTTCACATGTTTGCGGCAGGTCCTGATCCGCTTCCACATCCAGAGGAACGTGATCGCAATCCCCAAATCCATCACACCCAGCCGCATTCAGGAGAACTTCCAGGTACTGAGCCGAGAAATAATTCAGATGCTTTCCAGGATTAGCCCTCTTTCCGGCTCGAGTGTAAAGACGCTGTTTTAATCTTTTTGCAGGTGTTTGACTTTGCTCTCACTGAGGAGGAAATGAAGACTATAGTAGGGTTCAACAGGAACTGGAGAGTCTGTCCAATGCAAGAGTGAGATATTTTATTTATATTGTGTTTTTGACCGTCAAACTGTTGAGGAGATGTCAAATAAAACTCCCATTTCTTTATGTCTTTCCCCAATAGGAGCTTGAAGCACAAGGACTATCCATTCCACGCTTAATTCTGGAATGGATGAATTCCACCAGAGCGTCTCCACCCTCTGCGCTGCTTTATCTTTAGAGCGTTTTGGATATTTAGTACAGCCTTACCTAAACGTTAAAATGTGTTGCTCTCAGGAGAAACTTTAAATTCTTTAGTGATCACTTTTGTCTAACTGAAACACACTCCTAAAACCTCTTAATACAAAATGAGTTTGCTTTAAAATGATTTTTTATTTGTGTGTCATTTTATGTTACTGAAGAACTGTGTACAAACTACATTTGTATTTTCAAACTGAATAACTGCTCTCATCTATTTTTGAAACCGGAATAACAATTTATAAAATCATGCCCTTTGTATATTTGTAGATTAACCTGATGTAGCACATGTATGAGTAAATGTTCATAAGTAAATGAAAAGATCAATTCCTGTTTTAAGTCCAAACACTACTCATGTCGCTACGCTAATTTAAAAGCACTGTTATCTGTTTAAAATTCAGAACTTAATGCACTCATTTTGGGATGACAAAGTGTTTTTTTACTTTATTCGTGAGTCATACATGGCACTATTTTTCCTGTTACGAAATCGAAGCTTTCACTTCCCACTTATAAGACGCTGAAATAAAGTCCTGGCTGTGGGAGACAATAAAACAAGTTTCTGCAATGTTTTTCTGCACAGCTTAGAAGAAAACACTCAGGGGAAGTGTGTTCCTCTCTGTGACCACTAGAGGTCAGAACCTCACGGTGAGCCAGGTAATAAACGCATCCATACACATGCATACATAACACTTGAATTCTCATATATGTAATGCTCCATATTTGTAGTAAAGGAAATGTCATTAAGCTGTTCCCTACTAGTTTGTATTTAAAGGGGACAGAGTAACATTAGGTCTGTTTACACAAAGAGAGTCTTATCCTTCTGGAATGCAGGAAATTGAAGCTGCCAACGAGGAGAAAAGTTCAGCGTTCTCTGGAGAAATGAGCCGTGCTCGTGTGTTTGATTCATAGAGGGAAGTTGAGCATTAACTCATACAAGCGTTTAACCCAAATGTCAATATTGTATCAGGTTATCTACTAATTTTTGTTTCATTTTGGGCCATATTCCAAAAGTAGTAGGCTACTAAATAGAATCGTAATTAGTCCTATTGTATTGCCTACTGAGAACTGCTGTGCGCTGGACCTTCAGATGGACATTTTGAACTTCCTACAAAGTGATTTTTTTACAGCTTTATTTATTAAAAGATTCAGATTCAAAATATAATCAACAATCACATTAATTTACTTTTGAGATAATGCTTTATTGATTAGTGAATTAAACTCACAAGCTACACATCAATTTATATTTATGAAAATAAGTTTATTTACAAGCTGCAACATTATAGTTGAGTATAAAGTATCCGATAAAACATTATTCTGAGATGGGCCATTGTGCAGAAAATGATACAATGTTGTACTTGAGGAACATGTTAAATACAAGACTTAAACAGAGTATTTATACACAGGCAGGCCCGGACTGGCCATCGGGAGGACCGGGAGGTTTCCCGATGGCCTGGCCTGGCCTGTTAAGTGGCCTGCTGGCCTGAGGATTGTTTTGGTATGTGAACGCAACGCTGCGCAAATGTGGGTCTGACTCTGCCTCACAGAGGGTGACTGGCTGTCTACATGATGTGGCCTGCCGACATGGCCACTTTCATACAGATCAAGCTCGGGAGGGTGTGTATGTGTGGCGCGAGCAAGCGAGAGAGAAAGCGCGTGCACTGGTTACGTGTATTGTTGTTGTTAGCATCCGGTGCTAGCTAGCAGCGCTAACGGAATGAGCTGTCAACAAGGTGGAGGAGAGTCCTCTCCTGTCAGACTGAGAGACTGATAACTACAGCTCAGGTGAGGTAAAGGACTCTCTGAGTGTTTAGATAGTTAACTTAGTCTAAGTTCTCTGTGGGTCTCAAACGGTTTGGTCACCATTTATGTAAACACATATTTCCATTTGAAGGGGGAGTGATTAGTAAAATACGCATTAATAATACAAAAAAAAAAGTTAACTAGGTGAAAAAAGGCAAGATAAACTTTTAAAACTTGTTGAGAGCTAAAAACTAGTCTTTGCTGCTGCCTCAAAGAGGAGCAGGGGGAGAGGAGAGAGGCTGGTTCAGGAGCACAGACACACTCACAACTATAAATGAACCAAAAACAAATAAATAAACAAGTGTCAATGTTTTTTCATATTGGATATGGTATGTTATTGGTTATGGCCATGTTCTTATGATTTTATGATTATTTAAATGTATACAGTTCTGTTTCATATGGGTGTAGTCTCTTTATTTCCCCCTCAAAGTGCACCAGATTGATGCATTTAAGTCCAACATTTAAAAAAAAAAATCTTCCGCGGGGAGCATGCCCCCCGACCCCCCTAGAGGATTTGAGGTCCACCTTCACTTAAAATATGTTCACATGGATAGGTTGCTAAATAGATTTGCACTTTAAAAAAAAAATAGTAACCCATGTCCATATGTTTATGCTGGGGTAGTTTTAAAGTTTATGGCTCTCACTACGGGCAGATATTGACAAATAAATCCAGGAAAATTGCACAAAAGAAAACTGGTAGTGGCCTGGTTGGGTGTATAATTCCCGGCCTGACTTATTGTCCCAGTCCGGCTCTGTACACAGGTATATGGCGATCTTTACTCCGAGTACTTATTTCACCTCTGCACAGCATTGATAGTGATCCAGGTATTTAACCCAAAGATAATGGCATACTTAGTAAAGGGTAGGCCCCATTAATCATAGGTAAAATGAATCATCAAATCCTAGAAAAACAGGATGTGGAGTCAGCGTGTAGATTTTAAATCAACAGAAAGCTCAGCACGTTGTCTAGTATTCTGTATTCAGAGGGAAGTCTTTGTGATGCGTCGCCCTGTGGAGAAGAGAGGAGGAGGAACACACGTTACATAAGAAAGGGATAATGGGTCCAGTTACATCATAGTTCAACTCATCTGTTAACATCACACCCTCAGTGAAGGAAGAAGTACTCAGACTTTTTACTAAAGTAGCAATACCAAATGTAAAAAGAAATGTTATACTGTAAGTATTGGCATAACAATTTAACTGATACACTAAAAGTACTTATTGTGCATAAAAAGCCCTTAATATATTATGCATTAATATGTTCATCACAGCTGAAACACATGGTGATATTTCTTTTAAATTAAACTGCTACTGGATGCATTAACTTAGCATAATATATCATAGTGTAGACTATGACTCCACTTCGAGCAATACAATTACTAACAAAGCACTTATATACTAATAAAGGACTGGCTTATCTAAAGCTAGTTGAGTAGCACTTGAAATGTTTTGGCTCTATGAAACCTGATGATTCTGGTTTTTTCAAGTTTGTATCTTCTTGGTCGAATGCACTTATTGTAAGTCGCTTTGGATAAAAGCATCAGCTAAATGCAATGTACGTAATGTAATATTATATTCTGTATTAACTAATAATATGAATCTGAAGTAACTAGTACAAAAAGAACTATACTGGCTTCCAAAATATAGTGGCGTATAAAGTAGCATTGAAGGAAATACTTAAAGTACAAGTAGCTTAAAATCAATCAGTGTTTGAGTAAACCTCGTTAGATTCTTGTCTGTATATTGTTCGGTTTGATCCCTGTCTACTCACCATTCCATTTTGAATGCTCTACTCTCGTTGAAGCTCATCATGGTCTTCATGTCTTCATCACTCAACTTGAAGTCAAACAGCTGGAAGACAAAGAAGAGGATTTATAACGGAAATTCCTCTTACAAAATACATTGCATTGAAAGGGGTTCTCTCTGTGTTGACTCCCCCTTTTAGTCCCAGAGATGAAAACAAACAGCGGATGTAGAGTACCTGGAAGTTCTCCTTGATCCGATGGGGCGTCGCTGACTTGGGGACAACAAGCATGTTCCTGTCGATGCTGAACCGGATGAGAACCTGGGGTAAAAACAGCATTATACAACAATTATTCTATTTTTACAAAGTATCTGTCTATTTTTTTATTTTCTGTGTTGACCCGCCAACGGAAACCTACAAATATTACTACAATATAAGTTATACTGTGAACTTCCTTAGCTATAACAATGTAGAGTTTCTGCAACCAATTTCTTATTTCCTCTTGACAGAAATCTGAAAAGCTTGGCTGTAAAAAGTGAGTTTTACTTCTCTATAAATGTTTTGGGTACATAGTAGTACTGTATTCCTTATATTTCATTATATCTTAGGAAATAACAGTAGTCCCACGTGCCTAAGACTGACTATATTATGGTATGTGTGGCTGTACCTCAGAAAATACGAGCAGAACAATCAATTATGTTGTATCAATGAACTCATATCAAATAAAAATCCTGGATATGCACACATAATTGAATTCCACAATTATCACACCACCATTTCTTTTAATAAGACCTTGTTTTCTTCAAGGGAAAGAGGAACTTTTGCTAGACTTTTCCCACCTGTGCTGGAGTCTTGTTGTGCCTTTTCGCGATGTCCTTGATCCGAGGCTCGTCCAGCAGAGAGGGATCATCGGACGAAACCCTTTTGTAAGTAAAAACAGATTGAAGCTTGACATTCTTTCTCTGAGCTCTCTGAGTGTATGTCAGGTGACCCTGCCTCTCACCAGGGTCTGTCGGGGGAGCCCAGGGGACTGTAGGCGGTCACTGGGACGCCCTTTGACTGGCAGTAGTTGATCAGCTTCTCCTGAGGCAGGTACGGGTGACTCTCAATCTGCAGAACACCAGAATACTTTAGATGTACTCTCTTCTTCCTTCTACATTATGTCGTGCTGTCACACTCTTGTTTTGTACCTGGTGGTTGGCAGGCTTGTATTTGAGGCCTGGTTTGTTGAGGAGTGCTTCGATCTGGTCTTTGTTGAAGTTGGAGATGCCGATAGCTTTGACCAGCCCAGAGTCCACCAGCTTCTCCATGGCCTTTAAGACACATTACATACCGTTGTTAGTATACTTCCAGTTTTGCATCCTATTTTTGTTTGATTTAAGCTGCCAGAATGTCAGCTGGACCGTCAGCTCGCCACTTAAGATTCAAGATTCAAGGCTTTTATTATCATTCGTACATAGCTACAGTGTAGTTATGTCGATGAAAATCTTAGGTCACAGGCTCCTCCAACAGTGCAACACAATAAAGAGATAACATTGTGCAAGTAAATACAATCAAATAGAATAGAAGTAGTGTCATAAGAGTCTATATACAAGTGATGAATAAATTACCTCCCAGGTGTCCAAGAACTCGCTGCCATCAGGAATGAGCTGGTTATTGGCATCAACGGGAAACATATTATCCCCAGGCTGCATTGGAAAGAAAGTCAGAACTTAATGTTGGGTAAAATGTGTTTTACTCTTCTTTTTTTTTAAGATATCCTGTTAAAGGTGGAGTCAGTGATTCTTATCCAAAAGACTTTTGGGAATATTCTCCTAAGAGTCCACCGTCCATTTGGCCCTCTACAGAAGCCCTAAGATTCAAGATAATTATGTTTTGTGTGCAAAGTTGTCCAACACCTGAGTTTATCTTCTACTAGTAACTTTGTTAGCCTGAACTGAATTATTTAAAGTCTTGCCTTCATTTCTCAAAAGCCAACTAATTCTTCTCTTGAGATTCGGTCTAACTACGCTCTTTTGAAATCCTCTTAATGTCTCTAGTATCAAGCTATCTTAGACATGAGAAATATGCTATGAGGTTGAGCTGGACCAGAACCCTATCCTGCTCTTGTTTTCTGTATAGCCAGGACAGGACTATAGCACCATACCTTGGCTCCCATAGGGAAATGCATGAGGTAAAGGTCCAGGTAGTCCAGCTTCAGGTCAGAGAGCGTCTTCTCACAGGCTGTCCTCACCAGAGATGGGAGGTGGGAGGTGCACCACAACTAGGAATACAACATATTGGAGGGGAGTGTAAAACGGGGGGAAACTAGGCCTAATAATAATAATAATAATTCCTTACATTTATTATAGCGCTTTTTCAATGACTCAAAGCGCTTTACATATACACACATTACACATATATCATACATGCAGTCAGATACTGTGGACAATACCCACAGGAGCAAGTTCAGGTGTCTTGCCCAAGGACACACCGGCTTTACAGACGCAGCAGCGGCGGGTTTCACCCCTTGATCTGATGATCATTGCACAGCGCACTGCGCCACACCGTCCATCTTCACGCCTCGAGGTCATCGAGGCGCTTTTACAAGTACACATTGGTATTATACATGTACTGTGGACAATACCCACAGGAGCAAATCCGGGTGAAGTGTCTTGCCCAAGGACACAACGGCCTGACGCAGTGGCGGCAGGATCGGGTTTCAAACTGGAGTTCCCCAGCACTCCCCCTTGATCTGATGATCGGATGCACAGACCACTGCGCCACCCGTCCTAATAACACATTTTACATGTTGTCATGCGTTTTCCCAAATTAGGCATGGTGTATTATAACTTTGTCATCCTTGTGACCAGCTGATGAAGAAGAAGAAAGGATCCTAATTATCAAAAGAGTGAAGCTGCCCTAGAGCATATTGGCCTATTTGCAGTATTAAAAAGCCTCTGGTTTAGCTGTGCAATATAAATCCTTTATGTTTGTGATAAGCTTGTTTTTCCTTGGCTTCTATGGAGGCAGCTATATGATAAGACAATATGACATGTTTCTCTACCAGGACAAAAAACAATACTGTATTTTGTATTAATACCCTACCTTACTGACGATGAACAGATCCTCCCTCTTTACCACTCCTTTGTCGATCATGGCACAAACTCCATCCCCAACTTCTCCTTCGTTCTGGTAGACATAAGCACCATCAATGTGCCTGTATCCCACATCTATTGCCGCCTTTACAGCCTCACAGACCTTCCCTGGGTCTGACTGGAGACAAGAGGGTGAGACGGATAATCATTCATATGTGTGGCAGTGGTTTTCCTGTATCAGTTAATGAGTAGAAATGATGAGGAATTAATTATGGGCATGTAGTCTTAGCTGGTATCACTATTATGCAGTACAATCTTTATAACCCGTAATAAACCAAGGGTTGATCGTGTTGCAATTTCACATCTTGGCATTTTCAGTATAGCACATAAACCCCTGTTGATGATGCCATTTGTGGATTTCCAAATAAGACCATGCAGTCATATTTGCATTAGATGCTTAAGTGGGTATTTTTTTACCCGGTGAGGTGGTTTTCTTGAAGTTTGTAATTACATTTTAGTTTCATTTCATATTCCAGCTATTCCTCAAAAAACAAGTTTTGGATATCATGCCATTCACATTTTTAATTTAAATTTTAAGAAATTGAAGTTTTTGTATTTCTACCCCAAGCTTCCATAAGTGGGTCAAAAATGACCCGCATGCATTTCCTATGGGAACCTTTGATTATTATCACCTGTTGCTCTCAGGAATACATTCACTGTGGACCACACAGACGACATTACAAGTGACACCTCTCAGAAAGATTATTTTACACAGCAAGATCTGATACCTGTCAGTATAATAATAATAATACATTGTATTTTTATAGGGCTTTTCAAGGACTCAAAATCGCTTTACAATATAAGGGAAGGTTAGGGTGGGGGTATAGGACTATCAAACTTGATCAACCGGCATGGATTGATGGGGGGTGGGCTATGAGTAGACAAGAGGAGAAGAGATGAGTGTTGAAAAGGGACTGGAATATTGTGAGGCTCTCAGAATAGCGGAGATCTTTGAACTATATGTTCAAAACGTTTTTTTTCAAAATGTAAAAATAATGTCTAAAATTATAAATTGTGAAAAATTAAATATAAAATATTTGTAATGTGAACCAAAGTGATTTTTCTTAACCAAAATGACAGAAATGGCATAGATACACATATTATTCTAATACGGGTCCTTTTAGACCCACTTATGGAAGAGTGTAGGGTCCAGTCACTCGGGCATCTTGTTGGGGAAATATTTTCCAAGGCCCATAACTTTGACTCAGTTTATCAGTTCAAACTGTCCTGACTGAGAACACACACACACCTGTAACCTTGGCTGCTGTGCTCTCAGTGTTTTGTCTCCCTGTTCCTGCCTGTTGGCGTCAGCTGATAGAGGTGTTACGATTCTATCTTGTTATGCACAATGTTGATTATTCTCTCTGAACTAGCTAAATACACGGGTCTGGGGTAGAGTTCTTGAGACGTGGCAACTCTACCGTTGCAGTCAGAACCTCTGACTCTGTGACTTGTGATGTGAATCCTCTGGCCGAAACTCCATCAGTGTTTGACATCAAAGCTCAAACTCTCCTCGTGTCTCTCTGAGTCCTGACTCTCCATTGCTACAGAAGTTTCCCTTACACATCTAAGGGTTAAATGATCAGATTAAGGTAACATGCATTCAATTATAATGATAAATATTTGAACAAACCTATTTACATTGTATTGGGTTCTCTATTTTTTATGTTATGACACTTTAACACTTCCTTCCATGCGTTGGGATGTATCAAGTGAGCACTGGGACTGCTTACATCTATTACAAAAATAGTTTATATCTTATTAGCAACTAGTTTAGCACAGCATTCTGTAATTACATTTAGCTCTTGAACCTCGTTTGCATTAGATTCAAGTGACAAGGCAGTGACATGAACAACATGGACAATACAGATCATAGAACCCATGAAATGCATTTGTTCAAGTGCTGATAAAAACAGCAGAGACAAAGTCCAACACCTCTATCTGTCTAAGTATTATACGGATAAAACAATCAGCCTTACCCTCCATGTTCCCAGACCCACTATAGGCATCTTTGATCCATTGTTGAGAGTAATGGAGGGGATCATGTTGGCTCTTCTGTTGCAGCTCTGGCAGGATCAGACTGTTCTTGCTACACTGAGGAGGGGGTCTTATGTGCACAAGCCAGGGAGAGGGGGGTGGAGTTAATGAGCAGGAAGGAGGTGGTCCTATGTGGTGGATAGGTCTTGTTTTGTCTTTCATCGTAATTAAGGAATATCCCGTGGAAAGAAATATGCGTCAGAGAGGAGAATGAATCAGCAGAAATGTTGCTATTGCAAGTCATTGATAGTAGTTGATAAGCCAAGAGGACACAGTCTGTGTTAAAGTGATAAGTGCTCTCATTGCTTTTACAGTAGGACCTTAGAAACCGGTTAATAAAGATATGATCAGGATAGGACCAAAGTGTTTTTAATGTGTGGTCAGTTCTGCGTTGTACATCATTTTGCAAGCGATGTAATTATTGAAGAATAAATAATTATTTCTCTTATGAATGAGTGGACTATGCAATAAAACACACCTTAGGGTAATTTCAGTACACTCATACTTGTTGATACAAAGACTGGGTTGGTAGATTATAGCAAACTTTAAATATTGCTTTTCATTTGACAATATTACACTTGTATTTCGGCTCTTGTACTTCTGTTACATTGCATATTAGAAAGTTATAGATACAGCTAGTGTTTTATTTAATCAAAATTGTCCGTCTGTCCGTCCGACTGTCTGTCCGTCTGTCTGTATGTCTGTCTGTCTGTCTGTCTGTCTGTCTGTCTGTCTGTCTGTCTGTCTGTCTGTCTGTCCGTCTGTCTGTCCGTCTGTCCGTCTGTCCGTCTGTCTGTCTGTCTGTCTGTCTGTCTGTCTGTCTGTCTGTCTGTCTGTCTGTCTGTCTGTCTGTCTTCTGTCTGTCTGTCTGTCCGTCTGTCTGTCCGTCTGTATGTCTGTCTGTCTGTCTGTCTGTCTGTCTGTCCGTCTGTCTGTCCGTCTGTCTGTCTGTCTGTCTGTCTGTCTGTCTGTATGTCTGTCTGTCTGTCTGTCCGTCTGTCCGTCCGTCTGTCTGTCTGTCCGTCTGTCTGTCTGTCTGTCCGTCTGTCTGTCTGTCTGTCTGTCTGTCTGTATGTCTGTCTGTCTGTCTGTCTGTCTGTCTGTCTGTCCGTCTGTCTGTCCATCTGTCTGTATGTCTGTCTGTCTGTCTGTATGTCTGTCTGTCTGTCTGTCTGTCTGTCTGTCTGTCTGTCTGTCTGTCTGTCTGTCTGTCTGTCTGTCTGTCTGTCTGTCTGTCTGTCTGTCAGTTTGTCAGTTTGTGTGTACAGACAGAGATCGAAATACCTTTTCCCACAATCCCGAATACAAAAATACAAATATATATAAAAATATCTATACCATATACACAATCAATTGGGCCACTGGTATGATCCCCTCGCCGTTTTCAGTGTAGGAGGATTGCCCTATCACATTTGAGCGGGTTTAGGTTGCATGCAGGTGAACAGTCAGCATGGAGAAATTAAGCTTTGGCCAAAATAAAACCTCAGCACCCATCAGGTTTTGGCTGACGACATTTAAGCTTTTTAGTTAACGTTTTGTAACTTTGACCAAAATATTGGCCCTGTATTCTGACTCAGATTCAGCAAACGTAGATGATACGATGACTGAGGGTACACTCTTAAAATGCTGGGTTATTTCTATAAACACATTGCTGGGTTGATTTGGCTGGGTCATAATTATGGGTTATTTGGGTACTGTAAACACACTGGTGGGTTGTTCATGCTGGGTCAAAGGGGTTATTAGGGCTTCAATTGCAGTTGAACACCCGCCTGGGTTATTTTTAACCCAGAGGTTGCTTTATTCATTTTCCCACTTCTGAATCATTCTGGAATCATCTTTTTCAAAACACAAGGTATGTAACCTATATTTTACCTATATTTATATAATTATACAATTCTGTAACCTATATTTTTTTAATGACTTGTGATAACTGTTCAATAGGGATCTGTAGGCATTTAACAGACTGTGCAAAGTATAACATTAGCAGTTAACGTCGGCTACAAATGTTTTACATTTCTGTCAATGAGTGAAAGAGCCTTGAATTTACGTTGTGATGCGATGAATTATTATTTTACAAAGACGTGTGTTCTACTAGTAGTTATAAATGGGTCTGAACTATAGTTTTGGATTTGTGTGCAAAAGTATTAGATGTACAATAAGGCAGTATAAATCAGATGGCTTTTACGTCACAACTCTCTTTCCCAGCATGCAGCTCGGGAGCGGGCTTTCACACATACGGACAGACAGACGACAAAGAAGCTCATTGATGTAGGTAAGTTTAGGTTACTAGAGTTATTTATTAATTACATTAATCATTAAAGTTAGCAACTATTTAAGTTATTTTTAGGAGTGAGTGACCGGAGTCTCCGAACCACATAATGTAACATTTTAGTTCCCTGCCATCGACGTGTTACCATAGGTTAGCTTAGCTTAGCATAGCACACCAACCAGCTAGGTCGTGTCAGGGGCAAATAATAATAATTCGTGAATGATTAAAATGTCTTCATGGAGAGATTTGGCAGACCCCCTGTAGTAACTGTACATTAGTAGCTTGGTACCTTACAATAAATGTTAAAACATTGCACAGTTTTGTGAAATTCTAATGTACTTAATCTGATTTGATTCTAGTAGAGGGTTTCACCATGGACACGTTTGTCACAGAGACGTTGACTGCATGGCAGCTTGAGAACTTGATTGACACATTTAAAGGTAAGTTAATTTGTATTGAGACAATGTTGAGATGTTACTATTAAATATTTTGTTATATATTAAAAAGAGCAAGGTAGCGCTGCAACAAACAACTAATTTGATAATCGATTAATGAAACGATTAATCGACTATTCGGACTATTACTGTATGCCTTGCACAATTTCTCAAACGCTCTTATTTAGCCATCAACTTTTAGATGTAGCTTGAGGTTGTTTTAGGCATGTGGAAACTAACAATGAAGACAATAAAGATGAATACTTGATTCAAAAATACATATATTATTAAATTAACTAAACACATTTTGAACAAAATTAACATTGCTTTTAATTTTAAATAAATAATATTTCACATCAAAAGAAACAACAGTGTTTTAACAAATGGTATTAAATAATCTGATGACAGAACTGTAAACAGAATAGCTGAAACTTTAACAAACTAAATAACTCAGTTTCCTCTAATAAATAAAATAGCTTTTGAAAATGTGTGCATCTTAAAAGTGCTTAATTTTAGATAAATAAAATAAAGTGTAGCAGCAGCTTGAGTTTCCCTTTTTCTTTGTTAACCGTTTCACATCATGACTTAACAGTTTCAGCCGATTATAGAACAATATCAGTCTTTACATCATAACAATTGAACAGTTTTAAAGTTTCTCTTTCTTTCCCTCTTATATTGTACTCCCTCTCTCACTTTGTTTAAATTCAGTGCGAGAATTGAGCTGGAGCTTGTCCTGCCAGGAGTTTGTAAATCTGGGCTGACATGGAGTCAGGGCCATTCTCATACACATGCAGGTGCTCGTTGGTTACAGGGATGCAAACACAGGTATGGTGAAAAAAGAGAGAACTATTCGAAGCAGAGCGTAATATACCATCTGACAAAGGCCTGTGCTATAATGCTTTAATTAACTGTTCTTTATAATATACTCAGATCAATAGGAGACAGAGATGTTAAGTCATAAATGAGTGAGCCGCATATGAATTATTCTGTGAACATACACTTTCAAACAGATGAGATAAGAAATGTCAGTAAAGTAAATGTACGATGTTGCTGTCCAACACTGGCTATCACACACCTTCAACAACAACCAAGGAGTGCATGCGGTGAACAGCAGAACTCAAATGCACTTTAAAAGCGCATCACAATTCAGTGTTTAATTCATGGATTTGAATCGTCATATATTTGTAACAATGATTACTGTCTCATCTCATCGTTCTTTGACAAACTTCTACTGTTTATTTTAACAGGCCATCCACAGACACAAAGAAAGCCCTTGCCGTGGCATTGGTGTATGAATTCCCTTGCCTTTTGGATGGTACAGACAGTGGCTATGTAAGTTAATCAATCAACACATAAAGGAGAACACTCCATACACACACACCTAAAAGAAATGTGCTCAAACGTTTTTCCTAGTGCACAGTCACACGCACATTTTTGGATTGCTCCTTAAAATCCCATGTAACCATCTTCATGGTTTACGCCAGGCCAATTTAATCTGAATCTAATTTTCTCTTTTACACGGAGCTTGGTACACACCTGGCCGAAATCACAAACCTGCTACAGGTTTCCTGGAGGAGCGCTTGAGGAACGTCAGGAAGCGCATGAGAATGCTGAAACGACCACGCCACCAAGAACAACAGAAGGAACAGACCGTCCCTAGTACACCAGGTAATACTAATAACCAATATTAATTATCCCCGCCAGGCTAGAATAGACAAATGCAAGGGATTATATTTTAGGTCCCATGACTCTTCTGTCCATCCATCTTCTAAAAGCTAGTCTCAGGCACCGCTGGACCGATTGGCGACTTTTCACACACTCTCCCAAGTAGGCCAGAACCCCAAATGTTTGAAATCAGCTATAATGAATCTGAGGACCTCTGTACTTATCATTCAACAGAATATGATGTGCCTCCTGAAAAACTTCTAGAAATGGATGAAGGTCAATAGGTATCCAGTGTCCCAAGTTGAGGACTACATGAATCAAACAGCTCTACATAGAGGCAAGTGGATTCGCAGCAATGGATCTAAAAGCCTCCCGGAAATCTTGACTGAGTTCCCTAGGCTTTTAGACAATCCTGGCATGGTAGGGAGGCCTGTGGTGCAGTGGGTTGTGAGTTGGTATTCGGATCAGGAGGTCACAGGTTCAAACCCCACTGCATGTCGTTGTGTCCCTGGGCAAGACACTTCACCCCAAATTGCTCCTGTGGGGATTGCCCACAGAATTGAGTATGTAAGTCGCTTTGGATAAAAGCGTCTAACAAGTGACATGTAATGTAATGTAAGAAATTATTTTGCTATTGCGGTTTTGTCTATTTGAATGATACTCTATTTGTGTTAGGATTTGAAGTAAGGCAGCACCCAAATGCAGATTGAGGAAAAGCGGGTTTCAAAGTGTAACAAAAGGCGAGCTTTAATTACAAAAAGTTGTTGACGATGAAAAAACAAAACAAAACCATGAATCCATAAACAGGTAGCACAAGGTAGCATCCAGCCAAAAACGACAGTGACAAACATGGAGGGTGACAGGAAAGACAATGAACCGACAAGGAACACAGGGGAAGACAAGACTAAATTGTATTGTCATACTGATATTCTGTACAAACTGTGAAGTCCACTGAGACAAATGTAACATTTGTGATATTGGGCTATTAGGGGTGTAACGGTACCCGTACCGAAATTATTCGGTACGGGCCCTTCGGTTCGGTACAGGTGTGTACCGAAGTGTACCAAACGAATATAACGTTAAACGTAAAAAATTGAGAACGTGAACAACTTTTTGGAAGTAATCTCAGGTGCTGCGTCGCAGCATTCAGAGTAATTTGGTCACATTGGGTTCAACGCGTCATAGAGCGAGCAAGTCATTTCATTGGATGAGAGGCATACTATGAGAGCTGGTCAGAGGGATGCGTTCACTTGTAGTCAGTAATTTGAGGAACTGTCGAAAATTAATGGCGAACGCAGATAAAGTTGAGCTCGAAAATATAGCCCAGGGCTATATAAATAAACATTCATTGATTGATTGATTGACTAAATACAAAGAGGGGTAATCACAGGGCAAGACACAGGGAGGGAATGCAGAAACACAAAGGCAATAGGTGAACACAATCAGACACAGGAGGGAAAACACAGGAAGGAAGAAAAGACACAGGTGAGGAGGGAGGAGAAAACACAGAGGCACAAGGTGAACACAATTGGGTTATCAGCCAGGAAGGAACACAGAGACAGGAAGCAACAGACAAGACGGGGGGGGGGTGAACACTTTTCAAAATAAAACAGGAAACCAAAAACAGATCTAGACAAGACAAAACACAACACAGACAGATCGTGACAATTTGACTGATACTCTGCAATGCACTACAAGTTTATGTTTAACCACTTAGACCCTACAGTATATACTTTGTAATAATTTAATAATTTACCTGTTGAAGTGACACTGGCTGTCAAATTGTCCCCTAACCCTTTTCCTAACAGGTACTACAAACCAGAGGTGTGGACTCGAGTCACATGACTTGGACTCGAGTCAGACTCGAGTCACACATTTTATGACTTGAGACTCGACTTGACAACATCACAAAAGACTTGCGACTCGACTTGGACTTGAACACCAATGACTCGGGACTTGACTTGGACTTGAACACCAATGACTCGGGACTTGACTTGGACTTGAGCCTTCTGACTTGAGGTGACTTGCTACTTTAATTCAGAGGTCTCCAACACGCCGATCGCGAGCTGCCGCTAGAAGAGCAGACTCCCGTCGGGGAAAGCAGAATCTTCAGCCGCTCCTACTCTTGCTGAGAATCCTTGCAGGCAGGGGCGGGTCTTTATTTAGCTCAATCATATGCGAGGACACACTAGGATCATACCATTATGTGAAAGAAGGGTGGGGGCACAGCATGTGCAGAGCGACAGGGAGACGGGGAGCCGGATTTAAATGCAAGCGCGTCGGAAAAAGTCAAGAAATGAGCGAAAACCGAAAAAAGAAGCAGCATCTGGCTGCTTTTCAATGATATTGGAGAAAGCAAAGCTGAGTGCAGGATTTGTAAAATGAAAATAACCTTCAGAGCAGGGTTTTTAAGGCCTTAAAAAGGTCTTAAAAATGATTCAGAAGGTCTTAAAAATTATCGGATTTGAAAGGTACTTCTATGTTGCGATAGCGTCTAAATGTGTTTTGGGGGAAATGTCCGGGCTGCAAAGTAACCAGTACGGTAATAGCCTTTCAGTTCCCCCCAACAATTTGTATTGAATTAAATCAACATGGAACCAGTAATCACTAACTTTGTTTCCCCCCGGCCCCTTATTGGAGAACACCCAGCTAGTAACCTAGCAACCAAGCTTCAGCTCATGTAGCCTATCTTCGAATCTACTTACAAATAAATATGGGGAAGTGTAAGTTCAACCGTATTTGGTTGGAAAACGTCTAATTTAGTGCTTGGTTGAAACCAGTGGAGGGAACGTGTTTGAAGCCCGCTGCACCTTTTGCAAAATAAATTAGCGTTTGTTTTGCTAATGTAGCGTTAGCTAGTGGAGTGTTAGCTAGTGCAGCAGCTCCCGCAACAACACCGGAGGACCTCCGGGCGAAGTTTGGGTCTACGTCAACCCTAAAAGCGGAGGTGCTGTAGACGCTAAATACCGTAGCTAAACACCAATCATACAACAGCAACGATGAAATAGTGTAGCCAAGGCAGCAGAGCTCTGAATATAGCTCACTCTCTCTCAGAGACACACACACACACACACACACACACTAGGGCTGCTCGATTATGGCAATAATCAAGATTATGTTGGTCAATAATTAATATCACGATTATTAAATATGATTATTCATTGACTTTGAAAACATCCATTTATTGAACTTTAAAACAGATAATAATTTGAACAGTATCTTTTTAACTGTTGATTACCCTGAACATATAATTCAACTGAAAAACTAATACAAAAATTAATTAAATAAATGATACATTACTAAAAAATTCATTAGATCAAATATGTTGTGGTGCACTGTCACAACCTAGCAAAGCAAAATAATCGTTTTTTTCCGATTATGTTGTTTTCGTAATTGTGGCAGGCCAAAATCGTAATTGCGATTAAAATATGATTAATTGCACAGCCCTAACACACACACACGCACACAGACGCACACACATACACACTTTGTGTCTAACACGCTAACACAGTTCTGTACTGTTACGCTGTTGTGTTCAGTCACTGTTCTTATATTGAACATGAATACATTTACTTTGTAAGTGATTATGGGACGTATTTCTTCTTTATATACATTTTCCTTCATACTTTATTGCCGTGAAATAGGTCTTAAATTATATTCAAAAAGGTGTTATTTGAGTTGGCGAAACCTGCAGGAACCCTGTACAATAAAAAGTCCTGCATTCAAAATGTTACAAGTAAAAGTACAAAAGTATTATCATCAAAATATAGTTAAAGTACCACCTGCAGAGGGATCTAGATGCAGGTGTTCTCTTCCCCATAGAGACCGCCTCGCTGCACATTATCCCTTGCATAAAGATAGATTGTGGGTCCCTTACAACATGTTGTACACAGTGGAAATAAACATTCTGGTTGACTCAATATCAGGGATCTTATACATTAAACTCCTTCTGAATCAAACCGTCACGGTAGCCTTACCTTACTGATCCCTCTTAAATTAGAAAAACACACGTTACTTTACCAGCAGAGAGAAAATGGATTATTAAATTATGAATGTGACTAATAAAGAGCAATTTGATTATTAAGTATTATTCTGTTGATCGATGTCATTACATTTGGTGAAAAACACATAATGACTTGTTTATGACTCGTTTTGTCAAAGTTTAGGACTTGACTTGACTTGAACTTGCCCATCCTGACTTGAGACTTGACTTGGACTTGAGCGCAAAGACTTGAGACTTGACTTGGACTTGCAAAACAATGACTTGAGACTTGACTCGGACTTGAGCGCAAAGACTTGAGACTTGACTCGGACTTGCAAAACAATGACTTGGTCCCACCTCTGCTACAAGCCCATATCATTTCTTTAAACACTGTTCTATTGTTTTTCATGTTTTTCAAAATGTATCAGATATCACAAGACTTCCAGCAGCTTCATCCAGAGGCAGTGGGAAAACTGTTTCAGAACTGGGCTACTATGAGTGACCAAATCCTTACATATGCCCAGCGAGAGGGAAAACTGCCCTTGGTGTTTGATGACATGACACCAGGTAAGCTATTTCTTACTATGTAACACACACACATCGGTTCTTTGAAAATAGCAGATGTACATGCTTGCATTGCGTCCCAATGAAACTCGTTGTGAGCTTGTGGATCTGCAATTTTTTAAATATTTTAACAATCATCTTGTATGGGGTCCCTTGCACAACATGTTTTCGGATGGGAGTCTGTTGACAAATACATAAATACATGAACAAGTTTGTGAACCACTTCATTAGATACCTTTTGTCTTTCTTTGATTCCTGCTCCCCCCCTTCCTTTTCTTTCTCTTTCTGGAAACAATCAAAACGATGGAGCTTGCACAAAAACAAATGTCACCCACTGTTTTACACCTGTGAACCTGTGATGTGACAATAACGATTCTGATAAGATGTCACAACACTTCCTGTGATTATAATAGATACAATTCACGCCTTGTTTTTACCATTCAACACCAGGGCAGAAAAGTCAATATTGGTTCAGAAATATCAATCTTTATATACTATTTAAATGTTAATATGTATTTTTCTTATATTGCGTAGGCCGAGCTTTGAAAGTCCTGCCGACTCTGCTTCCTCCATCGGTCTACAGGGTTGGAGGAAAAGTCCACAGACCGACCATAGAGGAGTCCCGCGAGTCCTTCATTAATATCCAACCAGTAAGTTTTACTTTTGTTTTTCTACTTCAATAATGGTGGGTGTTTCTGTGTTTATATACTAGCATTTTCATACTTCAATAAAAAAGATAATAAAAACAACATGCTTAACTTAAATGGCAGGTTATATTGCAAGTAACTGTTGTGTAATTAACAGGTGGGCACCAACATGGTACAGTACCTACAGACAGCAGAGAGAACTCAACCCTTCCCGCACATCTTGTGTCTTGGTGATGACATGACAACATGCCAGACCTTCACCATTGTGTCAGACAACGCCATTGAAACGGACACTTTGCTGGGTGCAGTAGATCTGTGTTTTAAGGCTTTCTTTGTGTTTGACCTCAATTACACAAAGCAGTGTCTCCCCACCTGGGAGTTTATCCAACAGGCAGTATATAACATTGATGGACATGAATCCTCAAATGTCAAATTTATGAGGACATCAATTGCAGCTTTGGCCTAAAGGTACACAGAGAGAGAAGTAGCCTTTTAGTGATGTGTGTCAAACAAGTTGACAGCTGCTCTCTAAAAATATGATTGACACAAAACATGATTGCAGAAGACAGTAGGCACAAACTTTAATTGTGTTCCTGTTAATTCATTTATTTTAATTTCTTACTTTACGTGATTTAATTGACTTATTATTTACTTATTTAATTTACTTCATTTATTTATTTACCTTGTTATGTTTGTGTCTGTATATAGTTTCTGCTGGGCAGAGAAATGTTTTATCTCTATATTTAAATATGTTCATGTTATTTAAACCTGAAAGAGAAGTTGGTCCAGATAACAGCACTTTGTAATATATCATTTGTTTTAAGGCTCTTTTTTTTTTTTGGGGGGGGGTTGAATTTGTATTGTTTGCATTGTTCTTTTATAGTGGCCTGAATGTTGACGATTTGCCAAAGATGTTCAAATTATGAATAAATGCATTTTTATATATATATATATATACGGTGTGTTTGGAGATTATTCATTACACTATTATACATTATTATTATATTATATTTAGCCCAACAATATAGTTAATTTCAATCACTAGCTTGGGTCAAATAAACAATCCAATGTATGGGTTAAAATGATCCAGCCCAGCATATGGGTTAAGACAACCCAGCGCGTGTTCTGTCCTATAGTGACTCAGCAGCTGGGTTATGATTGGGTTATTTTTTAACCCAGTAGTTTTAAGAGTGTATGTCCACTGTTGGGAGTAATGGATTATTCTGTTTTAAAGTAGAACAAAAGTTGAGTGCACATATTGTTGTGATAAGCAGTTTTTACACTGAAGCACAAAAAGTACCATCTTTTGGCAAAGCACATCTTAGCTGACATTACCTGACAATAGAGTCCTGCTGGCGTCACGAGGGAGGCAAAGAGGAGGCAAATCCTACTTTGATTGAGCTAAGTATCGCTGGTGTTTTATTTTATTTGGTTGTTTAGCCCCTCATGCTATAATCATGTGTATTTTCTCCATTCCTGTACATGTGTCTTCTCGCAATTATCACTGGCCCCGTGTATCTCCTAATCGATATAACCGGCCTGCTCTCGTCTATCCCACATGCTCCACTGAGATCCAACATCTAGTTTCAGGCGGCCTGTGGAACTGCCAGTCAGCTGTTCCTAAGGCTGACTTCATCTTTGGCTACGCTTCCCTGCAGTCTCTGGATTTCCTTGCTCTCACTGAGACCTGGATTACTCCATCCAACACATCCACCCCAGCAGCTCTCTCCACTGCATATTCCTTCTCCCATACACCCAGACCCACTGGCAGAAGAGGTGGCACTGGTCTCCTGCTCTCTCCCAAATGGAGCTTTTCCCTCTTCAAGCTACCTAACTTCACTCCTTCCACCTTTGAATTCCATGCCGTCACAGTAACCCATCCTATACAGTTAACCATTGTTGTTCTCTACCGTCCACCAGGCGCCTTGGGGGACTTCTTGGAGGAATTAGATAATCTCCTCTCACTCATCCCTGAAACTGGCCCTCCCGCTGTACTTCTCGGAGACTTCAACCTCCAGACAGGGAAGATAGACGAACTAACATCTCTGTTAACCGCCTTTGCTTTCTCACTGTCTCCGTCCCCACCGACTCATAAAGCTGGCAATGTCCTTGATCTCATATTCTCAAGGAACTGCGCTACTTCTAACCTCTCTGTAAACCCGCTCCACACATCCGATCACTTCTTCATTTCATTCTCTCTTCCCCTTTCCAAACATAACGAACTAATCTCTTCTCATCCTGCACTTGTCCGCCGTAACCTTCGTTCCCTCTCCCCCTCTACCTTTGCCTCATCGGTGCTCTCAGCCCTCCCTTCCTCTGACTCGTTCCAACTCCTGCCTCCAAACTTTGCTGCAGAAACTCTCCTCTCTACTCTCTCATCCTCTCTGGACTCGCTCTGTCCTCTCACATCTCGGCAGGCTCGTCAGTCCCCTCCTGCTCCCTGGCTAAATGACGCACTGCGTGCTAATAGAACCGTCCTTCGGGCAGCAGAGCGGAAACGGTAGAAATCCAAACACCATGACGACCTCCTAACCTATCAGGCTCTCCTCTCCTCTTTCTCTGCTTCGATCTCTCAGGCAAAAAGCACTTTCTTTCAAGATAAGATCCAATCTTCCTATTCCAATCCCAAAAAACTATTTTCCATCTTCTCCACCCTCTTGGACCCCCCCAAAGCCCCTTCCCCCCTCCTCACTTCTGTCAAGCGACTTTGTTACCCACTTTGAAAAAAAGGTTGATGATATTCGCTCTTCTTTTTCTGACTCACCTTTACTCACCGCTGGGTCACCAGACCCTCCTTCCACCAACACACTAACCTCCTTTTCCCCTCTCTCTCCAAGTGAGGTTCTTACCCTCATTACCTCTGCCCGCCCTACCACCTGTCCTCTGGACCCTATCCCTTCAAACCTCCTTCAGACTATTGCTCCTGATATTCTACCGTTTCTCACCCGTTTCATCAACACTTCTCTAACTTCTGGTCACTTTCCAAACAGTCTCAAGGAGGCAAGAGTAAACCCTCTCCTAAAGAAACCCACTCTCAACCCGTCTGATGTTATAAACTACAGGACTGTCTCTCTCCTCCCGTTCCTGTCTAAAACACTTGAACGCGCTGTCTTTAAACAACTCTCCTGTTATCTCCATCAGAACAACCTTCTGGATCCAGTCTGGTTTCAAGGCAGGTCACTCCACAGAAACTGCCCTCCTTGCTGTCACTGAGGAACTGCACACGGCTAAAGCAGCCTCCCTCTCCTCTGTCATCATCCTGTTGGACCTGTCTGCTGCATTCAACACGGTGAATCATCAGATCCTCCTTGGCACTCTCCAAAAACTTGGAGTTTCAGGCTCTGCACTTTCCCTCATCACCTCATACCTCAAAGACCGCACCTACAGGGTTACTTGGAGAGGGTCGGAGTCCGACCCTTGTCAATTAACTACAGGGGTCCCTCAGGGCTCTGTTCTTGGTCCCCTCCTCTTCTCCTTGTACACAAACTCGCTCGGATCAGTCATTAGCCCGCATGGTTTTTCATACCACTGCTACGCTGACGACACCCAATTAATTCTGTCCTTTCCCCGCTCAGAGACCCAGGTCGTCGCACGCATCTCTGCTTGTCTAGCTGACATCTCTCAGTGGATGTCTGCTCACCACCTCAAGCTCAACATTGACAAGACTGAACTGCTTTTCCTTCCGGGAAAAGATTGTCCCACTCTTGACCTGACAATCAACATCGGCCCCTCTGTTGTTTCCCCGACTCAGACTGCAAGGAATCTGGGTGTGACCCTAGATAACAACCTGTCCTTCACTGCAAACATCGCTGCTACAACCCGCTGCTGCAGATACACGCTTTACAACATCAGGAAGATACGTCCCCAGCTGACCCAGAAAGCGACTCAGGTTCTGGTCCAGGCTCTCGTCATCTCACGCCTAGACTACTGCAACTCCCTCCTGGCTGGTCTACCTGCATGTGCCAACCGACCTCTGCAGCTCATCCAGAATGCAGCGGCTCGTCTGGTCTTCAACCTTCCTATATTCTCCCACACCACTCCGCTCCTCTGCTCCCTTCACTGGCTTCCGGTAACTGCTAGAATCCACTTCAAGACAATAGTACTTGCATACCATGCTGTGAATGGATCTGGCCCTTCCTACATCCAGGACATGGTTAAACCGTACACCCCAGCGCGTGCACTCCGCTCTGCATCAACCAAACGGCTCGCTGCACCCTCGCTACGAAGGGGACCCAAGTTCCCATCAGCAAAAACACGTGGGTTTGCTATCCTGGCTCCAAGATGGTGGAATGAGCTCCCCATTGACATCAGGACAGCAGAAAGCTTACACACCTTCCGGCGCAGACTGAAAACTCATCTCTTTCGACTCCACTTCGAGCGATAGAACTATTAACAAAGCACTTATATACTAATAAAGGACTGGCTTACCTAAAGCCAGTTGAGTAGCACTTGAAATGTTTTTGCTCAATGAAACCTGATGTACTTATATGATTCTGTTTTCTTCAAGTTTGTATTTTGTTGGTCGAACGCACTTATTGTAAGTCGCTTTGGATAAAAGCGTCAGCTAAATGCAATGTAATGTAATTACCTCAAATGCCAAAGGTGCTAAAGAGGTGCTCACAGAACAGGCAGGACTATTACTTATGAAACAATCAGGTCTCACCTCATTCTCACAAAGTTGCTAATTGTTATTTAACTCTTGTATGATGTTCATATTTTTGTTACTCAGCCAGTGTTCGTGGGTCCGGCTTCAATTCAACACAATCAAACGATTTTATGTTAAAATACTCAACAGACATTTACTTCATCTCAATTACAGCATATATGGTTAATATTTGCCCTTTTACATTTGTTAGATCACATTAATGAATTAAAGTGCTACTGGTCCTGTGGCTCGTCTTGTTTTTGCAACTAGCTGATGCTCAATCTCATCCTCTTCTTCAAAGTCACTGTGATCCTCACATTCTGAAACCTCTTCCTCTTCCTCTACATCATCATCAAATGGTTATCTCTCCTCCAGAATCATTTGCAAGGCCCTCTGAGCAGAGAATCTTTTGGCCATCTTGATCAGTTGTGACGCAAACTGGCGAAGCTTTATTTATTGTGTCTTGCCCCAAATTTGCTGCTGGGATAGTGTGAAAAAAATAAAGATTGGTTCCCACAAAACATAATACACACACACACACATGAACACCCTGTATGTAATGTAAATGTGTAGGGGGGCGGATACAGTGGGTGGTCATTGAAAATGTGTTCTGATATATGGTCTTCACAGAAATGAGCCAAGGCCATTGAGTGTGGGTTTGAAAAAATAATTCATCATATCATATTTCTTTAGCTAAAAAATGAAAACAGGTCTCACAGACCCGAATACCATACAAGGGTTAAACAAGGACTGGTGAACCAAAGAAGGAATGTTTGCCCTGATATCGGACAGTTATTACAAATATTTGACCTTTCAAAATATTTTGAAAAGTGAAAGGTTACAAGCTCAACAGATACTGTCAGTAAGATCATGAGTTAAAGAGATACAATCATGATTAATATCAGTGACTCGTGTGACAAATCTCGATAAATCAAGTGTTGAAGGGCTTCCTGATTATGCACATTTGTAAAGTGTGGATAGCTAATATCTAAAAGAAATGTGGTTTTATGCTCGACAAAGCCTAACAATACAGTACCCGGTGAGTAGTTATTTTATTTAGGAACATAGTCAAAGTGCACTTCTGACCAGAATACAGCTCACCACACATCTGTTGGATAAATGTCACTGCAATGAGGCTTGGAAACCTTACTTTCATTGGTCATGCTACAATTGTGGTGATCAGGCTTGAAAGGTTGAAAAGTATTGGCACGCAATTTCTCCAGATTGTCTTTGATTTGTCCGATACCAGATCTCATGAACAAGCTGCTGGAGGCAAAACGATTCCTTCACTTTATCATGTGCTGGTCCCATTTAAAAAATAAAAAAAACTTCCCATGACTGGTGGAACTCGTAAAAAATGAATGGTTAGCATATCTGAGGCAGTGTAAATGTTGTATTTAGAGTTTTTATACTTCTTTCTATTGTAGATGTCAATATGCTCTTCATCCTGTAATATAACGCTTATTTTTAAACACGTTTCTTTTTCAGCTGCCATTCCCCCTCACAGCTGCCTTCCTGTTGTCGCAGTACGCTCTCTACTGGAGTCAATCTGAAACAGCAAGTTGGCAACAAGGACTGAACGGTAACTCACTTTCTGCATGCACAATATTTGACATAGTGTCGTTCAAACGCTTGATCAAATGTAACACAGATAGCATCTGCGCAAAAGAAAAATGGAAGGAATGTCATGTAAAATGACCCCAAATGAAAATCTACGTATAATTCTGTATACATGAATTACAGGAATGGATTGTAGGGACAAAATACTGGAAAAATAAGATACCCAACTGGAAGGAAAAACCTTTTTTCATAAGTGAATTTAGCAAAACTGTTTGTTAGTTTTGCAAGTATGAGTAGGGGATGCAATATTATGAGATTACAACTGTTTTAATTAATTAATTATTCTTTAAATGTTGTGTATGTATTTTTTTTTAAGTTATTTATATTTTTTTGTTTGGAAGTAATGACATTTTGAAACATGTTGAAATGCTTAATCTTAGGTATTTAAAACCCTCAGTCAAGCAGTGAACATACAATTATACAAAATTACATTACACAAATGTAAGGCAACGGTATTCAAATGAAAACATTAAATTATATTTTTATAGATTAATATTTCTGTAATATAACAGAACTCTGTCTTCCGGGCCATTTTCGTTCCTACCCTCACCTATGGTCAGGAAGGATGGGTCATGACCGAAAGAACGAGATCGCGGATACAAGCGGCCGAGATGGGTTTTCTCCGCAGGGTGGCTGGTGTCTCCCTTAGGGATAAGGTGAGAAGTTCCGTCATCTAGGAGGGACTCGGAGTTGAACCGCTCCTCCTTCGCGTAGAAAGGAGCCAGTTGAGGTGGTTCGGGCACCTAGTAAGGATGCCACCTGGGCGCCTCCCTAGGGAGGTGTTCCAGGCACGTCCAGCTGGGAAGAGACCAAGGGGTAGACCTAGGACCAGGTGGAGGGATTATATCTCTTCGCTGGCCTGGGAGCGCCTTGGGATCCCCCAGTCAGAGCTGGTTGATGTCGCCAGGGAAAAGAAAGTGTGGGGCTATCTGCTGGAACTGATACCTCCGCGACCCGACCACGGATAAGCGGGAGAAGATGGATGGATGGTAATATAACAAATAGTTAATCTTATACTTCCAACACAGTTCTCCAATTTTTCCCCTCCGATTATAAAACACACATTTTCTTTTTAAACTTTTTTATTCATTCTTCAAACATTATGCAACCAATCAACACTCACACACACACACAAACTCACACACATACACTCACGTATACAAAGTGCGGACATAAGACAATGACATGTCTATGACAGATAGGCAACATGAAGAGCAAAGGTGCTAAATATTGCACGTTATGATCAGTTTAGGAAACTTTTCAGACCGTTCAGCTTCACCGGTAAATGAGCCCAGGCGTGTGGAACCATCCCAGCAACACAGCTGAGAGAGGACACACACTTCCTGTTGCTAAGTTACCAGCATTAGTCATGTGACTGATGTTCATTCTCCTACTGAAGGGAAGGTAGATGCATCTCTGTAGGAAGAACCTAAAACGAGGTAACAGTTGATAATGGCACACCACTCAGGATGTGAAGCGCCATTTTCACAGAAATATTTGATGCAAGTGCCATACATCACAAATATTTGGTTGTTTAAGATAATAAATGGAAACTAAGAGAAAATGTAGTTGAGAGTACACTATGCTGAGTTTACAGCAGTAATAGTATGGCCTGAATAGCTGCAGAATTAATGTTTCTGTGGCGCTTAAATATAACTTATTGCCTTATTGCTCTCAAAAAGAAAAGCAATAGATTAACATTAGGCCATACCTGAGTCTAATAGATTGTACGTAAAGTAAACATAATGAACCTGGAAAACTAAATAATGGATTGTGCGAGGAGCAATAATGAGCGAGTTATTGCTTAGAAGCAGCCCTTCATCAGGTCAGCTTGTCATTTGTTCTGAGACAATATTACATACAAAGCCACACATTCTCTATTCAACCAAGTGATAAATTAGCATTCAATTTCAAAACCACAACGAGAGGCTGTCCTCTGCCGGGGTGGTGGTCTCAGGAGCAGTCGGTGAAGGTGGTCACCATGTTGCCCCGGCGCTGAGTCACTGTCCTGCAGTGCTGCTTCCCCTGGAACCTGCTGTCAGTCCTGGAAGTGTGCGTGTTAAAGGAGAACATCTTCTCCAAGTCCTCAAACATGTCATCAAAGAGTCCCCCTCCGAAGCCCCCCTGTCTCTTCTGTCTGCTGGCAGCCTCCCGGTGGGCCTGGAAGTGGCTGTCAAAGTGTCTCTTTTGGTGGGCTTGGTTTTGGGAGTGGAAGTGGTGTTGGTGTCGCTGACCAAAAGTGTCAAAGTCTTTGAAAATGTCGTCAAAGTTGAAGGATTGGTAGTGCTGGTTGAAGTTGTAGGCGCCTCCTCCTCCTTGATGCCCCCCCCCTGTTGACGGGCCGTGGCCAAACTGGTCGTACTCTCTCCTCCTCTTGTCGTCGGATAGCGTCTCGTATGCTGCGAGAGACAAACACGCATTACTTCACGCATTAATTAGGTTTCAGACCGTTTTAACCCTTTAAGTTCTATTTTGATCAATGTAGAGGTACATTTATTAAAAACAAGTAATATAATATAATATATAATATAAGTTGATCAACCGAAAGAAGAAATTACAACTATTTTAATTAATCAATTGTTTTTCATGCATAAAAAGCAACATGTTGAGCCTCTAAATTTACCTTTTTTCATCGGTTTATATATTTAGTTTGTATTATATTTATGTTAAACTGAATACTTGTTGGTTTTGGACTTACAAAACAAGACATTTAAAAGCATGACCTTGAATTCAGGAAACCCGGATGGCCATTTTTTCTGAGACTATACTATGCCGTTTCTTGCACATTTTCGACATTCTTTTTTTCTGATATTTTAGACATACTAAACGTAATAATGTTATCATAGTTATTTTATTGAGTTGTTGGTACATTTTTTGTTAGGTATATTAATTAGGCTGAACTAATAATTTGTTTTGGTTCAACTCAATAAAATTGCTGATGTGACATTAATTAACAAATTCTTTCTTTATTTATTTTTCTCTATATAATGTACTTTGTCGTTTTTTTGCATATTTTCGACATCATTTTTTCCCGAAGTTGTTCTTTTTTTAATTTACAGACTGTTCATTATTTTTTTCTTCATATTTGACATTTTATCTAAAAAATAATCAGGCGATGAATTCATTATGGAAATAATGAGAGCAATGTTTTCCTTATGAGGCCACCTAAATAGAATTACTCTAGTTAGTGAGTGAGTGAGTGAGTGAGTGAGTGAGTGAGTGAGTGAGTGAGTGAGTGAGTGAGTGAGTGAGTGAGTGAGTGAGTGAGTGAGTGAGTGAGTGAGTGAGTTAGTTAGTTAGTTAGTTAGTTAGTTAGTTAGTTAGTTAGTTAGTTAGTTAGTTTATTTTCTTTAATAAGGCCCATTAAAGAAGAGAGGGTGTGCCAGAAAACACCCAGCTGTCATCATGATAGCATTATGTCACGTCATGATAATAACAGTAACAGGCTATTATCACTTTTCAGAGTGACTCATGGATTTCAGAGAAGGTATTCTTTTAGAAGAACCCCTGAAATATGAAAAACGTTGTGACATTCCTATAATTTTCTCAAAGTTATTGAAGTGAAGCTTTTATTTATGTCTTAATATATATACATATGTTTATATATCTTTTTTATTATCCGTCTGTACGCAAAAACTGCAAGATTGACAATAAAGTTGACATTGAATTTGACTGTTTTGTAGTTTCCTAGTCCTGCAAGGGCACAGAGGCTTACCCTCTGCTATCTCCCTGAACTTGGCCTCTGCGTTGGGGCCCCTGTTTCTGTCCGGATGGTACTTCAGGGCCAGCTTGTGGAAGGCCTTCTTGATCTGGCGTTCCGTGGCTTCTTTCGGCACCCCCAGTATCTCGTAGTAGTCCCCATTGGCCAGGATGAACTCTGAGATGAGCAGGATGTGCACCGCTAGCAGCAACACACACTGCGCGGTGGCCATACTGCTGCTTCTGGCGCCTTTCTGTGAAGAGATCAGTTTGACAGCTCGGTTAACCACATTTCACACACTGGAAAGACTTTCAGAAACACTTTAAAACGCTAATGTTCGCATACTTGCTTCATATACCAACCTGGATATAGGTTTTAATAATACGCTTTATTTTTATAGCATTGTTCATACACCAGGTACAGCTCAAAGTGCTTTAACAAGGCACACATCACAATTTAAAACTTACATTTTACATCAGGCCAGACGTTAAAACCTTTTAGCCCACATGCAGCATAACCTACAAAACCTATAACCTTTTATGACATAATAACATTACTTTGCTAGCTAGTTTCAACAGAAAGGCTAGGGTTCCCAAGAATATGAAACTGTTTTTGTAAAACAACACAGTAATGTCACCCAGTTTTCACATACTTTTAAACTCTAATGTTCAGATACTAGCTTCAAATAACAACCTGAATACATGTTTTATGACATAAAAACATAGCTAGTTTCGACAGAAAGGCGTTGGTTCCCAAGAACATGAAACTGTTTTTGTGGAATAACACAGGAATGTAAACCAGTTTTGACATAAAACTGCTTGTTAATAATACTCCACTGTTATGCTCAGTTGCAGGTAAACTACCCAGGACTAGTAATAGGTCATGTTTACTTGAAAAATAAGGATTACCTGGAGAAGAGGTGACAAACAGCCTGAGGATACTTCGATCAGCCGCGGACAGCTCCAGCTGATGCGCAACAAAAGCTAGCGGTTGTTGACGAGCCGAATTCCAAAGCCGTAACACCACGACTCGCAACGCCATTGGTCCATTTCTCAACAAAGTGACTCGGTGCACTGTGATTGGTGGACACAGTGCGCACGTGGAGCATGGGGATAGTCAGAAAAGAAAACAAGTGAAGGAGGAGGGTAATCTGCTCGTACTTCCTGCTTTGCTTTGTGGTGATATTCTGTCATTTTTAATCAAGTAATGACACCCAAACATGTTTTCAGCCCTGGAAATATGTTATTCTGTTAATATGTTTACTTTCTAAATGTTTTTTTGTATTTGTACATTCTTGTAACATTTGATTTATTCCACATTTTGGACAATAAACCTGCGATGTGCAATACAAACACTATCTGCATTTGTACGGCGTAATTATACATGTCCCAACCAGTCTATGGTCCCAACACTTGTTTTTTTAAACTCACAATCATTTAATATGCTATTTATGTCACTACGTTTACTCAAACTGCTGTTACTCGTGTTTTGTGCCATGCTTGTGTACTTTTATTTTTATTTTATTACTAATGTGTGCTTTACTTTTTTATTATTTCATGACTTTTTGTTTTACTCATTCAACTTTTGCTGTAAAACTGTATTTTCCCCGCTGTGGGAGTAATAACGGGTTTCTGATTCAGTTATACAACCTTTTGTAATCATAGATGGTAACTATCTTGATGACAGAACGGAATAAACGTCATATCCGCTGAGTGCTACAACCCGGAAGTGGCTGTTCACGGGCTGGTTTCAGGTTTGTGTTTTGAAAAATGTTAGCAACAAACGTGTTTATGTGAAGCGCTTTCATGCAGTTTCTCAGCAGATATGCCCCGTTACTGCGCCGTGAAGGTGTGCAGAAACCGCGGGGGAACTACACCCAGACCACACAACAAGAGAATCAGCTTCTACCCGTATGTTGGTTGTTTTCTTTCTATTGTTTCTCTGAGTTGAAATGTTTGTTTGGTTCAGCTGCAAGTGCTTCTTTTCTGCTATCCTTGGCATCTTTGGTAATAATGAGTTATTGTCGCAGTGATAAATTACCATGTAATGTCACGTCAATAATATATCATTTGTTTATACCTAGTTCAAAGGTATAAGGGGAGACTGTTGTAGTGAATGTGGAGTAATGGATACATTGATAGATGCTTAATCTATCCCAAATTGGGAAATGATGTTGTCACAGCAGCAGTGTTTAGCATTACACGAGTTAAACATATTTAAAATACAAATTAACAATAGCAGCAAGTATATCACTAGAGTATCCCAATAATACAGAATGTGGGGGAAACTTCTGAAGCAACCGGAAACAGGACTCAGAGAGGCACGAGGAGAGCTGGAGCTTTGATGGCAAACACTGACGGTTTATTTGGAGTTACGGCCGGAGAATTCACAAGACAGGTGGTGTGTCACGAGTTGACACAGCGGTTGCTAAACTCATTCTGAAGAACTCTTCTGCAGCTGCAACTAGTTCGGAGTGTAATAATCAACATTCTTTATCAGTGAGACTAAACAATTATGGACCCTGAATCTAACTAGAGCTCTCGTCCATAGAAAAGAATGTGCGCCAGGGAATCTACGTCCCTGAACAGTAAACTACCTCATGGCGGCTCGTGCTCTGTCATAGACTGGCAACAACAATGCGCCCAAGCTGCTGCTCCTTAAGAGAGATAGCAGCAATGGCCGTAGACCTATGCCGTGGGAAAAGAGACAGTATGAACTGGGTCGAAGGTTGAATACCTAAGCAAATTATTCCCTAACACAGAATATTACGAAAATATTGAATAAATTAAATACTCTACAATAAACAATCTCACTAAGCTACAGAAATATATAGAAATAAACTACAGACACATATTGAAATTGGATTATAAAACCTTACAATTATGCAAACTGTTGTGGGTTATAGAACAGGAGACACTTTACAAGCTAGTAATGATAGCCTTATAAATGACATTCAAGTGACAACTGTTCTTGGTCCCCTCCTCTTCTCCTTGTACACAAACTCGCTCGGATCAGTCATTAGCCCGCATGGTTTTTCATACCACTGCTACGCTGACGACACCAATTAATTCTGTCCTTTCCCCGCTCAGAGACCCAGGTCGTTGCACGCATCTCTGCTTGTCTAGCTGACATCTCTCAGTGGATGTCTGCTCACCACCTCAAACTCAACCTTGACAAGACTGAGCTGCTCTTCCTCCCGGGAAAAGATTGTCCCACTCTTGACCTAACAATCAACATTGGCACCTCTGTTGTTTCCCCGATTCAGACTGCAAGGAATCTGGGTGTGATCCTAGATAACAACCTGTCCTTCACTGCAAACATAGCTGCTACAACCCGCTGCTGCAGATACACGCTTTACAACATCAGGAGGATACGTCCCCAGCTGACTCAGAAAGCGACTCAGGTTCTGGTCCAGGCTCTCGTCATCTCACGCCTAGACTACTGCAACTCCCTCCTGGCTGGTCTACCTGCATGTGCCATCCGACCTCTGCAGCCCATCCAGAATGCAGCGGCTCGTCTGGTCTTCAACCTTCCTAAATTCTCCCACACCACTCCGCTCCTCCGCTCCCTTCACTGGCTTCCGGTAACTGCTAGAATCCACTTCAAGACAATGGTACTTGCTTACCATGCTGTGAATGGATCTGGCCCTTCCTACATCCAGGACATGGTTAAACCGTACACCCCAGCGCGTGCACTCCGCTCTGCATCAACCAAACGGCTCGCTGCACCCTCGCTGCGAAGGGGACCCAAGTTCCCATCAGCAAAAACACGTGGGTTTGCTATCCTGGCTCCAAGATGGTGGAATGAGCTCCCCATTGACATCAGGACAGCTGATAGCTTACACACCTTCCGGCGCAAACTGAAAACTCATCTCTTTCGACTCCACTTCGAGCGATCGAACTATTAACAAAGCACTTATATACTAATAAAGGGCTGGCTTATCTAAAGCCAGTTGAGTAGCACTTGAAATGTTTTTGCTCTATGAAGCCTGATGTACTTATATGATTCTGTTTTCTTCAAGTTTGTATTTTGTTGGTCGAACGCTTATTGTAAGTCGCTTTGGATAAAAGCGTCAGCTAAATGCAATGTAATGTAATAATGTAACTAATACTGAAACCATGAAAAGTTTCATTTTCAAACAACCCTTTTAATTGTTTGTTGTTCCTTCCCTCAAAGGTTTCCCTTACAAGACAAGACCAGGCTGCAGAAATGGGTGGACAACATGAAGCGGGAAGAATGGGCCCCGAGTCGCCATCAGTACCTGTGCAGCGAGCATTTTACAGAGGACTGCTTCGATATCCGATGGGGCATCCGCTACCTGAAGAACACAGCCATCCCGACTGAATTTCCCTCCAGTGGGGATGTACGTATCTGTCTTTGTTTCCCTGTCTCAGCATCCTTTACAGTTCACACATGAAGTAATGGCTTGCTGCACATCACAAACCTAGCTTTGAACCAACTTAATGGAATTTATTTAAACATTTTCTGCTCAAATTGGAGCCCAAGTAGAAGTACAAGCGCTTTCACTTTGAGAAATACGCATTTCCCGCAAGTTTCTGGTGGGCAACAAGCCTCTTCTTCATTTTCTATTATTGTGTATGGCCTGTGATTGACTGGACTTCTGTTCTTTTGTCCCAGGATGCAGAGACAAAGGTTACCACCATTAAAAGAAGCCCGAAGGCCAAACGCAAGACTTTAGATATTGACACTGAAACCAAAGGATTTGACTCTCCTCTCAGCATTAAGCCACTCATTTTGAGTAGAACATGCAACAAGGTCCAGTCAAATACAACAAACGGCATTGAAGCTGAGCACACTGGGATGATATTCGAATCGCCTCTGGTGTCGGACACTTGCATCTCCTGTCCTTCAAACGAGACACAAACTGCTGCTGCTGGTGAGTTACCAGGTGACAGTGGCACGCCGAAAGCATCGTGCCTCACACTGTCCCGACACGATGAGCCTCATCCTGAAGAGCAGGCTCCCTCCATTGTGACTGTGTTGCGCTGCGAGTCACTGGGCCCTTTCTCAGAAGGAGAGGAACATGTGGACGCAGCTGCCCTCCAAACCGCTCTGGGCCAGGCTTTTAGCTTCGTCCCTGTGGAAATAGTCATGGACCAAACCAACGCTTGCTTTTCAGAGGAGAGACCCAGCTATTTCGAGCACATTTCTGTTTACGAGCACTCGTACTGCAGGCCGGACACGGACAAGGATCAGCTGTGGCAAAAGATCTTGAGTTTGCATGCAAAGATCTTGGAATTGGACGAAAGGGAAGTGAGCACCATGGACAAGATCCGTGCTCTGGAGACAGAGGTAGCTCTCCTGAAGAAGACGGTGGCGTTTTTAAAGAGAAGCAGAACATTTTAGAAGATTATATCTCATCCATGCTGCTCTGACGAGCGTGGGTTTCAATTGTTACCATTGAGCGACTTGCTGATATTACAGGGGTGGATTCAAACTAAGCACACAAACTCAAGTTTTGTACATTAGCATCATTTTTAAGGTACTTGTACTTTGAGTATTTCCATTTTCTGCTACTTTATACTACCATAAAATATAAATAAAGTAATGCATGATGGGGAATTCTTATAGATTGAAATGTCCTTCAATATTATTCTGCTTACAACAGAATTCATAAATAACTATAATCCATCATTTTACTGTATATCAATTGGAAAAATATATCTATTCCCTAAAACGGACAGTCCTTCATAACGAGTGCTTTTCCTTTTGGTACTTTAAGTATACATTGGTGCGAATACTTTTTTACTTAAGTTGGACTTTAAATGAAATACTTTTACTTGCATAAACTATTTATACAGTCATATTACTACTGCTTTTAATATTAATGGTCTCATATCCATAATAGTTATTTTTCACAGCAGACATCTTGGCATGTCACTGTAATTATAAATACTTTAATGTTATTCATAACATCTGTTCTTCTCCCTGCTATGAAAAGTCTAAAGAACTGCTGTATAGGCTTGTTGTATATTGTATTCAGTTGTTGTCCACATGGTGGCACTGTTTGACCATCTTCACAGGGGGTGTAGATTCCACTGATGCCTATGAGATCTGTTACGTTTGCAGTGTGTACATGATTGTAGGGCTTTGCAATTAATCGTATTTTAATCGCGATTACGATTATGGCTTGCGACGATTATGAAAACAGCATAATTGACAAAATACGATTATTTTGCTGGGTGCGCTTTCGCCCCTCCCTAAAAGCCCACTCGGCCACGTGGGAGTGACATGTGTTGTGAGTGTTCAGCGCGAGCGAAGATGTCAGAACAAGAGCAGCAACTCGTTAAAAAGAAGGGTAAAACTATTTCCACTATTTGCAAGTACTTTGCCATTACATTCCACATCGCTAAAGATATGTGCCCAGTTAGCACTGTTAGCAACCAGGGCTTTAAGCAACTTGTCAACACGTTGGACAAGCGTACGCGATGCCGTCTCGGTATTATTTCAGCAGGTCTGCGCTGCCTGCGCTATGTGACAAATGCCGTGGGGAAGTTGAGAGAGATGTGGCTTCAGCTGACTACTTTGCTACCACAACAGACCTATGGTCTAGCCCAGGGTTGCCCAACCAGTCGATCGCGAGATGTGTCTAAAAATAGAACAACAATATTCTGTTTTATCGTTAATGTCCTGTAACATAATCTTCCTGTGCCAGAATAATGCACTTGAACGCATCAAAGCTTTGTGATTGGCCGGCGTCACCCCATGTGTCGGGGCGTGGCTGAGGGTCTTCAGTACAGGTGGCGATATTGTCACCTGCCTGCGCTCATCTCTGAAACCAGACCATGTAAACAGGCTGGTGTTTCTTGCAAACAACCTTTAAGAGATGACATGAGCAGCCCTTTTTATTTGGTCTTAAATTGGAGTTCAACATTTATTTCCTGTTACTTCTGGACCATGACGGTTGGCCAGCCTTCAACGTTTAACTGAGTGGAATATGTTGAATATGTTTTACCAAAATGTTGGCTATATGTTAAGGAGTTTTCAGCAGGTTGTGACAGTGCACTGCAACATGTTTGATTTAATTTATTTTGGTCTAATTTATTTTTATTTATCATATTAATAATATATTTAGTATGGTTTTGGAAGTGCGCTCCAACATATTTGTTGATCTTGTTTATTGGTAAAATATTATTTGTTTTAAAGTTCAATAAATGGTCAATGAATAATCGTCAAAATAATCGTGATATCAATTATTGACCCAAATAATCGTGATTATGATTTTTGCCATAATCGCACAGCCCTACATGATTGTATCTCAGTTTTTCATCAATACATAATCCTAACTTATTGGCAAACCATGAATCATGTCTGAAACATTTTTAATACCTTGATACACAAATGGAAAACATAATTTGCTCTTAAGCTTTGGTATTTACTTCTCTGTAAAAGCAACAGTGCTTAAAGTGACTTTTATTTGGATTCAAAATTAATACAAATATGTAAGCAATGCTTTAAGAATCTTAAAAAAATGAGGAAGAAAAACACGATTTATTCTTTTTACTATATTTTGCAGGACCATTAATAACCATCAATTCAAAAATACATATTAATTTCCAGATTTTAATGCAACAAATATAAACATTTCCATGAAAGGGGACTCCTTTTGCAGCAGAGCTTGCTGTCTTAATGGGAACATTTATTTTGACTATGCTTCAAACAGCCACCGAGTCCTTTGTCCTTAAATCACGAGTAATCATGTCCCTGAAATCAGACGCTCATTTCGTTTCACAGCTGCAAATCATTTCCATTCTGTGCAATCTCCCCAAAAATATACTCAACATATTCTGATTCAGAAAACAATCTGTTGAAGTGTGCTTGTAAATGTCTTCCTTAAAGCATGTGCGGTGTCCCCTACGCCCCTTGGGATTGTTTAAACCCCCCTCAATGACATGAGCATGAACCAGTTAGGATTTATCGCCCACCTTCCACTCCCTTGGGTTCTGAAATCATAGCATTTTGGCCGAGTGAGATACCTAATCCTATTTGAAGCAGTTTTCCTGAATGAAATGTGCCAAAGGCTGTCTCTGTACTGTAGGCGCTGCTCGCACCATCTGTAAAACACTGTTGAGTGGATGACTATATTGGACCTGTGATGAAAATAGAAAAAATGACTGGTCGACTCGTGACAAAAGAAAGAAGAAAACACCTGTTGTGATTTTAATTGAACAAGTATATGTCACCGCTCTGCATGACTAATGATTCAGGCTTAAAAGGCTCTCATGGTGGAGGCATGATGATGTTGGCAGGGCTTTATTCTAATACTTAATGTGATGGAGGCAGGTGGGAAGCTTAATTGGTTTGAAACGCCAATGCAAATACACAGGAGAAGGTTAGGAGTCGATGCATTTCCCCCGGCCAACAGGGACCCAGGGCCCAGCAAGGATTCCGAATATGGATTCCCATTAATCTGTAATGAAATGAAATTGATGTAATCGTATTGCTCGGAATCCCGGCAGACAAACAACATGTCTTCTATCTTCTTCTAGAGATAAGTGCAGGTCTTGATCTCAAGTATGGAACTGTAATTATTCACATATTTTTTGTGGAAATGCACAACATAAACAACTGCCAAACACAGCCAGGGAAATGACAAATAGGATCAATGAAAAAGCACTACGGAATTAAATGTTCATATCATTACAATAGCAAACTGACTGGGCTTTAAAAAAAAGACTAGAGCCAGGTCTCATGATAAAAGTCCATATTAACCCTTAAGAAATGTAAAGGAAAACAATTAAGTGAAGGAAGGATGAGAGGCAAATAACCAAGGTGCAGTTTACACTTTAATTACATTAAAACACATTTATAGAACATCAAAAGGTACAATATCTCTGTCTAATATGTACAGCCGTTTTTCTGAGAAGTTTTTACTTTTTATGCAGATTGTTTTTGAAAGTCTTGGCATCGGTCTGTTCAAAGTCATTGCTGCTATAAGCACCATGTGTTCCCTTGTTTCACAAAACATATACTAACATATAACACATGTTGTTTTTTCCAACACTGAAACATTCATTGACAAAATGCTGTCAAATGCCAACAGATATGCAGCTGAGATCTATAATGCATACACAACAACGACACAGATTTAAACCAAGGTGACATACCCTTTGATATCATCCCAATATATTGTTTTCTGTTCTTCATGAGGACATTGACATTTATTTACGAGAGTCATTTAGAGGTGTATGTTGATTTAAACCTTGATAAATTCACTTTTACATTTTTTGCAGGTGACAGAGGGACTTGCTTATACTAAATGGTATCCTATTTCCCATACTTCAGAAAACAAGCAGTAAAACAGGTTTAAAATGTGTTTAATATTTATCTCCAATATTGATCAAAAGAGAAAGAATTAAAAAAAACGATACATACAAAGACGTAAGTGATCATCTTTGTGATATTCGTCTTACATCCCAATTACATTTTTTTTGTTTTAAACTTCATTGTTTAAACCTTTTTTCCCCAGATCTCAGTGGGGTATGAACCTCTGTTTCAGTGTGTGTCATGCATTTCTTTCTTTTCCCTTTTAGCTGTAGTAGACGTATATCCAGGGGTTGGTGCAGCTGTTGAGGCTGGCCAGCAGCATGATGATGGCAAACACTGGACCTGTGAGAGGAAGAGATGTGTCAAACTGATCTGAGGTGCATTAACACTTAGCCTACATGTATTGCCTTGTTTTTAAAATATAACATGTTGACGTATTACTAATAAAGATACATACTTACATCTTGAAGACTCACCTTGAGTTGGCGCACTGCTGGGGATCCATGCAGACCATAACTGGACAAAAAAGAAAGGGCTCCAACACACTGTGTATGTCATTATAATAACAAAAGTCATTTTCACAGTCTTCAGCATGGCGTTGGACACCCCTCTCGTGCCCGCGCGCCCTGCCTGCAGAGCCTTTCTCTTCATGTTGAAGTAGATGGTGGTGCATATTCTTATTTGGCAATAGAGCACAATGGCTGCAGGCAGGGCGAACACTGCCCCAGTTATCCAGGTGATGTAGATCATGTTCCCCCACGGTTCTATAAATGTAGCCCAGCAGTCGAACTGGTTCTCCTCCACCTCCTGGAGAGAGAAAATGGAGATCTGAGGAGAGCTGAGGGCGAGAGAGATGAGCCACGCTGCGCCTATGGAGAGGTATCTCCTAAACGAGCTCTTAATGAAGGAAACCATAGGCTTACAGACCGCGTGGTACCGGTCTATAGTCATGGCCACTATCATGTACGAGGAGGCAAACATCCCGACCACCTGCAGGTATTTCACAGCCCGGCACAGGAAGTCCGTGCCTTGGAACCTGTGCGTAATTTCCATGAGAAACTGAGGTAGGACCTGGAAAAAAGCTACCACCAGATCCGCCAAGCACAGGTGTAAAAGGAACAGCTGGGTCCTTGTGTTTCTCTTCCGCTTCTTCCAAAGTGTGCTCAATAAGAAAAGGTTTCCATAAGTTGCAATCACAAAAACCAAACCCAATACTCCGGCTCTGATGAGCGCAACACGCGTATACACCTCTCCGCCATCAGCGGGGGGCTTTTCTGAGCTGTTGCTGCCCAAACCCATTTCATTTACTGATTTCCTGATGTTGTCCGGTTGTTTGGAATATAGCGGAGTTGGCGCAGAGGCATCTC